TGGTGATGTTAGTCAAGTGGGGAGTTCAGAAGAGGTTCTTGATGAACATGTAGCTTATTCTCAAAAATGTGAGTGTCCACTTTTTCTGAGTTCTGAGCATTTACATGGTGTTTTGGATGCAACTCATCCACATAGAAGTGGTGACTTGGCTGAAAGTGCAGCATAAGGAGTGTGAGGTATAGAGACCTGGAGTGGAGCTCTTTTGAATTACTGCTTCCTTTATTTGGGGTTTGGAAACACTGATGTGTGTTTCTGACAAGTTTTCCTAAGCTGTAGTTTGTGATGCAGTAATGGAATAAACCCTGGTCACTGAAACCCTTCCCAATAGGTTGGGGATTTGCTCTTCTGGGATTGTTTTTAGTGCTTACAGTGGAGCTACTTCTGCTTGAAATATTCTTTGAGGTCTTTGAGTCTTCTGCACAGTACAAAATAAGGGTCCCAAAAGATGATGTCTCAAGAACTCTGTCTAGCTTTGGCCACATTTTCCATTGAGTTCTGAGATTTGTTACTTCCATTATTTTTCTGGTGAAACAGAGACAGCCTATTAATGATATTTGTCTGTCATCATAAGTCTTTCAGGTTAAAAAAATACCCTTTTGTTGATTAATCCTCAGGTTTCTTCTGAGAATGAGCAAATATTTCTCTGCTCATCTGAACTGCAGTAGAACTAAATAAACTATACTTGTGTTCCCTAAGAGAGGCTTGTCTGTTCTTTTTGAGGCCCTAGCCTGAGTTTCTTGGAGACAAAATTGCAAATGACACGTGCTTGCTTGGAGTTCTTGAGTCATCAGCAGGACTCCTGTGTGTTTCCAGGGGCAGATTAGCCTGTAAGAGCACCACATCCTTTCAGTTTATCTTGTTTTTTTTTTTGCTGTACCAGCTCAGCCCCTTCATGTGAAGATTTGATGGCTGGCACCCAGATACTGTTCTGAACATTAGAGCCCCTTTGGTGGTCAGCTTCTCTCTAGGATGTGGAAAGAGCAATCCATAGGTGCCTCTTAGTTGTTCTGTTTTTAGAAGGTCCTAAAAATATCTCTGAATTTTTCCTGGTCAGAGATTAGGCAGCCTTTTACCTTCACAAAAACCCCTAATGATTGAGCACCTTCAAAGAATGACAGTTGTTTTTAATGGCACCATATCTTGAATGAACTGATGCTTTTTGATATATATTTGGTCTTGATGGAATGGAATTGAGTCATGTCAAAACAGATCATAGACCAAAGTACATCTCTTGCTGTATTTTAAAAATTCTTGCTCCTCAGCAAATTATTCTTTGTCCATTTGCTTCACCAGCTTCATATAGATTTAATGCTTGGTACTGGTGAACAGTGGTGGTGGAGAAGCCAACAGCTTGGCAAAGGACATTTTTTTTTCCTCTTGCCTGTGTTGTGCCCCGTTCCCCCAGCTTCATCTTTCAGAGTGTTGGCTTCAGGTGTGCCGCTGGTATAGGCTGGCACTAGGGGCGTGCTGTGTTTCCATGGGCACGCTCAAGCTGCCACCGCTTTTGCTTTCCCATCCTTGTTCTCCTGCCACCTCCTGACTGCCCCCACGCTGGCATTTGTCCATGCTCTGGCAAGGTAGATTGAAGGCTTAAACCTGTTTACTTCTTGGTGTGTGGTACAAGATTACAGGATTGATCTGAAGATTTGCTAGTGGTTTGCTCTGTGGCTGTTTGCTCCACTGAGTAGGTTGATTAATGGTTGTGGATTTTAGGAGGGGCAGGGAAGGGGATCAGGACTCTATGTGGTGGCAGTATTGTCTGAACTTGGAATTTTAGTGTGTCTTAGGTTTGTCTTGTAAAGTAAATGTCCCTGGAGGATTAAAATAATTTTTGGACCTAAGTCTAGAAAATTACTTTGTTGCATTTTTTCTAGACTTAATGTCTTATCCATGAGGATTTCTCTGCATATCTACATTAAATTAGTTAACAGATCACAGTATCTGTTTTATGAGAGTAAAGTTAGGAAAATACATTAGGAATATCACTGCTGTAGCATTTTGAAGGTAAGAGTGGAATTGTGGGTGTTGAAAATGGCAGTATCCTCTTGATGAATGACTACATTTTTCCCCCCTCACACTAAAGCTGTAAACACCAAGACAAAATTATATTCTACCAAAGCAGCAGGGCTCTGTATTTGATTTTTAGAAATTCCTGTTGCTGTGAGTGGGTGATAACCGTCAGCTGACTCAAATGTGACTTGCTTTGTCTGAAACACAGTAGAGAACGTTATTAGTCTGTGCTGCCCACATATTGCTTTAATCTTCCAAGTGTTTTTAGTATTGCCTAACCATAGCTATGCAGCCTGTGCTGTGAGCGAAGTCAATTACTGACAAGCAGATTTCTGGACTGGTTACAGATGCCTTCTGTGTTAGGAAACATGATTGCTTTTAGTGTAAACAACGGGGAGGGTGGCTGTGTTTTGAGTGGACTGCTTCATTGGTTTGTAGTGTTAGTGGAAAAAAAATCACATACCTGCACTTCAAATTTATTATGCTACTCCCATACCAGCCGTACTGTGTTCAGTGGTCTGTCAAGAACCACCAAAAGAATTCTGATGAAGGTAAGCACAGAGCAAGCCAAATCAGCTCTTAAGATAGGCAGGTGTTTTGGGAGCTATTATCTGTCTGAGGAGCTCTGTGCTGTTACAGGACAGCTTCTTGCTAATACTGGTAATACACCCTCCAACACTTCTGAGCATTTAGAAGTGTGTATGGTGAAAAAAAGTGTTTTACTTTTTCATTCTGCTAAAATACTGTGATTGGTATTGATTGGGGCATTTTAGTAGCTGTTTGTAGTGTGGAGAATTGTCTTGGAAGCTGGTGGCTGAAACAGTGAGGTAGGTGGGGAGTAGTTCTTGTCAATAAGGATACTTTTAATCCTCTTATTCCTGTGAATAGTTTCAGTGAAGCTGGGGCTGAACAGTTGCATATAAGTCCAATGCCAGGGATGGTAATCTAACAAAAAGTAAGTCTTCAGATGATGTTTGTACTTTAGGTTGTGAAGTGATGTGCTTGCCTTTTTGCCTCAGGTTATATTTTAAGCCTCTTTGTCTAGCAGAATCTCATTTTTTGTGAAATTTAATGATGTGCTAGCTAAACACAAGCTGGTGCCTTCTCTTTTGTAGATGTAGCAGCACAAAAGCAGTGCTCCATATGTGCATTTTGCAATTGCTGCTCCTGTCTCTTACAGGTTCCTGATTTTCAGAGGGACGAGGCACAACAGTGGTGGAGGCCTCAGTGTAGTTGCACTGGCAGCCAGTGTATTGCTGTAAAATGGGATTACAGTCATGCAAATGAGCCGTACACCCTGCTCAGATTAGTAGGATTCTGCTCTTGTAACCTCTCTTTCCCCTCTTGCCCAGGCACATCAGATTGATTGACTTGGACAAGTGTATGCATATTGATTGTTGACATATAAATTGCCATTTGGAGCTAGAAACTGAAATTAAGTTGGGAAAACCAATCTTTGTTCCTTTTCTTATATTCGCTCAGTTGTGGACTTAGATAAGCAAGGGAATGGTGCTTAAGCAAGAGTTCTTTGCTATGATTCATAACAGTTGTAAAGGTTCCTAAATTTTGTCTGTAACATTAGATGGCTTGCAAAGGTCAGTAACTAAATCACAAAACTCATTTTATGTGGTACAGCTGGGCACATGTAGGAAGGCCCTTTCTAGTCACTGCCTATGCTGCCATAAAGTACAGTTTCCTTTGCTTTAATGCAAGTTAAATGTTTTTTTGCTATAAATGGATCGTGCCCATTAGAAGTTATAAGATGGAAGAAAACCTGTTTTCAGTGTTTGGTTAAAACTATGTGGAAATCAACATCTGGACTCTAGAAAGCAAGCTCAAGTATGAGTTCACACTCTAGTCTGTACTGGGTGGGATTCTCAAAGCCAGCTCCTGTTTCTTCTGTAAGTGGAAATGTTTTTTATACTGAGGTGCAGATTCCTTTCCAGGAAAAGAAACTCCAAAACCAAACAACCCCAAAAAACCTGGTTTACCTTCTCATAGCTGTGCAGTTCACTTGTGCATTCCATGGTCTGGATTTCAGACTTGACTGGGTAGGCTTGGGTTTTACATGCTGTCTGTGAATGACCAGCGTGGCACGGTGCAGTTTCTTAGTTAGCAGGTGCTTGAAAATTCTGCTTTCTTGTTTCCTTGCCTCTGCAAACCTTCCACTGACATTTACGTCAAGGAAGTGGAGGATTGAAATGCTGCTTATGTGTTTTAGGCAGCACTCAGCTATCCAGAATGTGAGGGCTGTGCAAGTGCTTACTCCTGCTCTGGATTCACAGCTTGTTCTGTTTTTCTTATGTATGGCATTTCTGCAGAGGTGGTTTAGTTACGATTCTCTGAACAGCTGTACTTGTCTGAAATACTTGAGCAAGAGTTGTGGTTGAACCTTATCTCTCTAGTGTGTGTAAGGAAGCAAAGCAAACTCCACAGAGCAGAGGGTTTTAAACGGTGGGACTTTGGTTCTTGAGAATAAAACCTCTTACAGGAGATGATCTAGTAAAGGAACATGCAGATATGGAAGAGCTGGGTACAACCACCTTTTGTATTTAGCCATCCAGAGACACTGAGAGATTCCAGGTTACCACTTTGGATATCCTGCTAGCTGGATTGCTGGATGTACAATCCACAGGGTTTGTGGATTAGTCCAAGCAGCCATTTGCAGAAGTAGAACGGTTTTGAAAGAGTGAGAAGGCAGATGAGTGTCAACTTGCTGATGTAGATCTTCCTAGGCTAACTGTATAGTGAATTCCTTTGTGGGTGTGCCTGCCCTGTTATAACATTAGATGAAATTATTAAGCAACAGATACTGAAAGGGAGTGTAGAAGTGTAGGGTCAGTGGAAGTTTGAGCTGACTTTGAAAATACCTTTTGATGGCTTATGGTACAGATTACTGTACTCTCTCAACAGAGCAAGAGAGACCTGGGAAAAAAATCTTTATTCATGAAATCTTTACCTAATCTCATCATTCCTTCTCTTTTGTGCAGAGGCTGTGCCATAGAAGATGCACTATTACCGATATTCTAACGCAGAAGTCAGCTGTTGGTACAAATACTTGCTCTTCAGCTACAACATTGTCTTTTGGGTGAGTACAAAATGTAGAGGCTGAAATTGCTTAGCTAAGTTTTATTAACTTCATTACTCTGTTCAAGAGAGCAAGCTGAAAGAGTTGTGTGAAAGCAGGAAACTGATGTGTATAGTATGCCCCAGGTGTTTTGTAATTGAAGAAGCTTATCCCTTATGAGAAATTATTATTGAAAGTGTGAGGACTCAGTATCCATGTTATCCATGTTAAGTTGCTTCCTTGTTACAAGAATCCTCTTAAAATGTTTCCTTTCAGACCGTCTTTGATCTTTGTTGGGTGGTGTAGCTGTAAATACACTATGCAGAAGAGAAGAAAGGAGCTTCCTCAGGGATGTGTCAACAGCTGGCAGCACATGTCATGCTCTGTGGGCAGCTGAATTGTCTGATACTGTCTTGAAATGCTTAGCTGTGGATTAACGTGCCCATAATTCTTAGAATTCTGAGTGTGAAAAGGTACAACAATAGATGAGTGGATTTAGATGTTAATGAAGCACCTGCCTTGGAAAAGAAATCACTTGAAAGATTAGAGCATAGTGTTGCACCAGAAAGAGTTAAGATGTCTGTGAGGGGACGGTGAAGAAGCAATTCAGACAAACTCAATAATTCCTTTTGGAACTTTCAGGTCAAATGTTAGCAAGTTTGCACCTGAAGTCCTGGAATGTGGTCATGGAAAGGCATGAGTACTCCTGGAAAAGCGCAGCTACAGTGACTTGTCCAGTGCTAGCAGTTAAGCTGCTGAAAACCACGGAGCTATTTCCTGTTGTCACCACCTTTAGTTTACTAGTGCAATGCTCTGTCATGATATTGTAGCATTAAACCACAGGGGAGTTATCCTCCTCTGGATACCTGAGCAGAAAAGATTTGTAGAGACTTTTGTTCCATTAAGGGTTAATTTGCTGCAATATTGCATAGTACAGTTGTTCATTAGGCGTGATGTTTTCTGTGTCACAATTGAGGATGCTTTCAACAGGTCAGAAATTGTGCTTACAGGCCACCAGCTCTGCAATTCCTTTTCTTATGTTGTACAATTCCCATGTGCCCTTGGTGGAGTGTGGCACAGTGAGAAGTGATACTTGTCATACTGTTCTGGGTTTCAGAGAAATCACTTCATAACTATGTGGATGCTCTTCAGAAGTTCGTGGTGGGGTATGTGAGAAATCAACACTAGTTCATGAACATATTAGGATTCTTCTAGACGTCTGCTTTTTTCTAGTGAATGTCTCATAAAGTGGGGTCTATGAGTGACTGTTTCTGACAATCATTTAAACTGTAATATTTCGTTTTCACTGTAAGGGGAGGAAGACTGTCAAGAATTTACCTCTGTTTTTTCACAGGAATAAATGTTGTATCTTTTTTCCTTCTCTGCAGTCACTACATTTTTTTCCACTTTTAAAGACTGTATTCTCTTGAGATGAATGACGAAAATCTAAAGATTTTTCTGTTCTTTAAAGAAAAACTTTTAAAGAGATGCCAAAACATTGAGGAGAATTGATAAACCTGTGTTTCAGCTGATCTGTTGGCTGGAGGAATTAGCTTTCTGAACAGGTATTTGTAGTCCTGGTATCTTCCTCAACAAAAGGGTCTGATGCTTCTGTTGATGTTATCAGGCTGACCTAGTAAATGATGTGCAGCTACAGCTCTTTTGATAAGATTTTTGGCACCTTTAGTTGTAGAACAAGCTATGTAAATGTTGAAGGTAGACACCCCTATAGGCAGTCCATGAATCATTTAGCTGACACAAAGATTCAGGAGCCTGTGAAATCCTGCTGGCTGGAATGACTACAGATTCATCATTTGTGAAACAGTGAATTTTTTGTGTGCCTTAAAAAAACGGAAGGGCTACAAAACCATAAGGGGAAACATAACCATAACTCACAAGTAGCCTTTAAGGGAAGGAATGTTAGTTTCGGATTCACTTTCCGTGGTTTGCAGGACAGGTGCTTCTGGGAACTTGTTTGTGAGCACTTGTTAGTGAGCCTGGCTGCTCTAGAAGTGGGTGAGGGATAGATTTAGCTGGATGTCAGAGGGCCTTTTGCCCATATAAGCTGTTAGAGCTCTCCTGTGTTTATGCACGGTTTATGCACAAAGCAGTATTTACCATAGTAAATAGTTGCATGAAAATAGTTGCATTTGTTCTTCTGTCATACTTGTTAAAGTTAAATGTTGACTTTCCCATTGTAGCTCTAAAGATATCATTGACTGTATTAACTCTAAAGCATGTAGTGATGTGGTATTTCCCAGAATTTTTAGACTTTTCACTGGGTGTTTACTACAATTTGTGTCATGCTTCAAATACAGTTCACGTAGATTGGGATTAAACAAAACAGAATGCTCAAAGAGAGCAAATATAGCTAATAATGGCAAGCTCAGTGTAATCACCCTTTAGAAATCTGTAAATCTTCGTTCTTTGGAAGTCTTTTTTTTTCCAGGTGAGTGACTTGGGAATAGAAAGTTCTGGCTTTTAGTTGTGCACTGCTGGCTTGTAATATCACTTCTCTATTCTTTCAAGAAAGGGAATGGAGGCCATCGGAAGACTCTACCTAGGCATGATTTTCATGTGCGATTACTTTGTTTCCATCTTGCTTTTTAGGCATGCCCACAAGACTTAGCTTGTCCAAGTACACTCTTGTTAATGAGTGGTGATAAGGCAGTACTGCAGCAATTAAGATAGCCCTGCAGTGAGCAAGATAAGAAGGCTGGACCTTTTTGTGTTTGAAAGCTTTTTTTTTTTTTTGTCAAATCACTTCATTTGTCATGGTGCAATTTAAATGCCAAGTGAAGAGCTTGGTTTTGGCACCTTTGTGTTCTGGGTCATTCTGCAATTGAGTTAGCTCTTCTGTGAGAGCTCTGGTGCTTGCTGCTTTGTCTCCAGTTGAAAGGGTGTTTTTTTGGGGTAGATTGAGAATTGCACCTCTGCTGGGCCATGGCTGTTTCAGTGAAGTGAAACATGTGCGCTCTGCCAAAGCCTTTTATGTTGCATATGAGCTCACTGTCTCTCACTTGAATTGGGAGGGGAGGGTAAAATAGCTTTTAGCTGCTGTCATCTGGGTTTATCTTCTAAAGGTCTGTAGTTGTGTGTGACTCTTTAAGTGTTATTGGAGGCAAAACCAGAACTTGTCACTCCTCCTAAAGATTTGGCATTTTGCCCTGCACCTGGTCAAAAATTCTCTGCAGTTCTGGAAAAGAATTGATTTCATCTGTTTGAAAAATAAAGAGAAGACCCAGGTTAGCATAAGATTTTTCTTGGCTTTTTCTACATATGTTGTTTTCCAGGAACTTCTGAAAGAGCAATGCTGTGCCAGGAAGAGGAGAGAATGCACCACCAGGTGGTTTCCTGACCCTGAGAGGAAGAGTCTCTGAAGAGACAAGGATAGGAAGGAAGGGCTGCAGGCTGCTGATTGCTCTAGCATGGGTGGAGCTGCAGTGTAAAATAGGATTATCCAGGGAATGGGAAATGTGTTCTCTGTGAGAATATACAAAAACTGCATGCAATTCCTCTTGCTGCTGATCAGACCTAGGGACAGACTGACCCACAATCAGTTTGTGTTGCAAGAGTTGTCTTGCAGGAGCTGCCTACATCTGAGAAACAAATTAGCCCTGTTTTCTCAGTTGGTAGTGTGATTCTGGCAGCACAGTCATTGGAAGCACAGGAATTCAAAGTGTGACTGGGAATGGATGAATGGGTGATGCTTAGAAGTGGTCATTTGGGCACAGTGTCGCTGAGTTGGCATCAGTATTGTACATCTCAGCAGAGCCTACAGTTTGATGCAATATGTTTAAAAAGTGGATTTATCAGTTCTAAAGCAGGAATTAAGCAAATGCTGGTAAATAGTGTTTCAGTTTCAAAGAGGCACAGTAGAGCTGCTTTGTGTATGTTTCCATCTAAGCTTTCATGCAGTGTGTGCCTTAAAGGACTCTGCAGCGCAGTAGTGAATTGGGAAGTCCAGTTTGTTCTCGTTTACTTGTTATTCAGATTCTGGTGACAGGCAAATTTCAAATGCTGTGCTTTTTTTGAAATAGCTGACTAGCCTGCTCTTACCCTGGGAACACTTTTGGTTGTACTTGCTTCTTCTCAGCTGCCTGTTGTCCCATGCACTGAGCCATTTAGTTCAGTGAGCTGAAGGAGGTTAAAACCTGGCCTTTAGTTTAGGCAGGATCAGTTCCTGGTCTGCCTTGCAGCCATCACTTGGATGCCTCTGTGCAGGTGTGTTAGAGAGGGGATTTTCCTGAGGCTGGTTCTCTGTAAAGCGCTGGGCATGCTCAATCACACCAACGCCTGAGCTAGTTTGATCACCGTGGTGTGTTTTACAATGGTTTTCTGTGAGATACTTTAAAGTATCTTGCACATAGTCTTTGAAGCAAAAGGATTTAATTTCATTTTTTGTTTCATTACTATTTTACGTTGTTGCAAATTGCTTGTTTTGGTAATTGCACCTGTCAATGTAGTGGCTCTCTTTCTTCAAGTACCTCATAGTTTACTGGATTTTTGCTAGAGAAATTTTTTAATGTATCTGGTTTGGTTGCTTCTAGTGAAAATTTTGAATTGCTTGTCTTAGCTGAATTAGGTTTTAGATTTACCCACATTGTTTTAATGAGACTAAGTTTATTTTTCTTCTGATAAACTCTATTTTACTTGTAGCTAGTTTGCACAGATGCTTATGGAAATAAATTTGCAAAAGCACTATATTTTCTTGAAACTGAATGCTTCATAAAAACACAAGAGCAAAGTTCATGTTCAAAGGTGAGAATAATGCATACTAGTGAAAAATCTACTTAATCAAAAATCCGTTAAAATTTAATTAAGAAGGTAATTATAATGGAAGGCAGACAGTCTGAAGAGGTCACCCTATTTACAAATTCAATAGCACAATATTAGTATTTCTAGTACCCTTAATTTGTATACAGAGAGTGGAATATGTCTTCCCAATTATTTTTTCCACCTTGTTTTCTGTAGAGAAAATTTCCAAAGATCCAGCTGTCTGTGTAATTTACCTTGATTACTGCAAATTATACCAGCTGTCTTCATCTGTCTCCCAGCATTCCTGGAGCATTTGGAGAGAAAAGGATGAAGGATGCATCAATTACAAGCAATGTGCAACTTAATGACATACCAGTTTGATTACTGACTATTTTCCCTGCTTTTTCTGACCTGAAGATCACTGGGTTAAGATCTAGGGTTAATCTGGGTCAATATTCTGTTTATATTGATGTGGTTTTTAATAGTATTTTCCAAGTTATGTTTTGATCCAAATGATCCCTTTAGAGGTTCTTAGCTGATTCAGAATCCAAGGTGAGTAGTCATTGTGCTATTGCCTCTGGCAGTTTATTTAGTACTGCTTTGTCCAGTTCTAGCTCCATGTGTCAGTGGTGGTTTTGGTTGCTTGATCTTGAAAACCCAGAAAACACATCTAATTTTTTTTTTTCTAATTTTAGCTAGCTGGAGTGGCCTTCCTTGCAGCTGGTCTGTGGGCATGGAGTGAAAAGGTAAGTATAGATATGACTGGTCATATTTCAGTGGCTGCCTTCTCCTGCTCCAGTAAAACTACTTCCTCAGGAAGCAGCAAAAGTTAAATGTAACATCTGAACTCAGGAGCATGCTCAAATAATCTAAACTAAGTTTAGTTGGAATTGGGTTCTTGTCCCTGATCAGGAATTAAGCTGTGACTCTTGATATTCAGAGTTTTTTTATGAACTTGCAAGAGCAGGACGCTGGGCAGAATTCAGCCTTTATGAACAGGTTCTCTTTCAAAAGCATGTTTTCTAAAATCTGCATTTCTCTACTCACCTCCTTTTATTGCAAACAAATATTTGTGAGGGGTATGAGCTGTCTTTATATGTTAAAAAGCACCACTAAATCTAAATGTGTGTCTTCAAAATACTTCAGAAAGATGCTCCCAGTCTGTTGGCCGTCTGTTGTCCACTTTATTCCCCAAGGAGTGCTTAAATGATTGTGTTTCCATGTAGAGGAACAAATCTGGGGAACATTATGTAGCTGAATAACTTATTTTTAGCAAAGGTTTCTTGTAGCTAAGAAACTTCCTCAGCTGAAGGAAGTTATAGGCACATGTGCTCAGGGTTCTTCTGTTACAGGAGAACAGAATGATGCAGGTATGGAAATGAATGGTTCCCCCACTGAATGGCTGTAAAAGTATGGGTTTAATGAATCCAAGCACTAGGAGAAAGTGACCATTACTGGATTCACTGCTCTGCATCTCAATCAGGACTGGAGGGCAGGTGCCCTCGCTGTTCAGTTGTGCCATGAAGTAGTAAGACTTCAATTACCATCACATGTTCACTTTTCCTTAATTGAAGTGGTTCCATACAGCAGCTGTCCACATGCAGAGAGATTCTGAGATTCCTCTGCTTTTTGGAAGTGAGTGTTATGGTGCTTTTAATTGAGGTATTTATTCTCCTCCCTGCTCCCCATGTGCTTGCACACATTCTCATAACTAGATTAGTGCTGTCATTGCTGTGTAGTAAGCAACCTATCTCGACACACAAATGCATTTGACTCCTATTTTGCTGTTACAAAAGAGTTTTCCTTCCAACCCTTTAAGCAGGATGTTAAACTTGCCTTGAATTTGTATTCTCTAAAGTTCATTCTTCTGTTTTGTATACAAGCACATAGGATCTGTGTGGTTGGAGACTAATATCTCCATTTGCCAAACTGGCTTTATGGTAACATGAAGTTACTAAAAGGCAAAGGCAGACTCTTTCTCTCTTTATTTTTGGAACTTTGCCTGAGCTCTTTCTGCTCTCTGTGCTATCTTGCAAATAAATGCTTCAAAGCCTTTCCTGTGCTTTTGAACTTCTGAATGGCTCATGAAATGTGTTCGTTATTTTTATGTCAGTTGTTCTGTGCTATGTTTTCAGTCTTTCAGAGTAGTGCCATTCTTCAGCCAATCGTGCCTGTATTTTACAGATAAACATCTCGGTGAACAATAGATGGGAAGTAAGAGAAAAACTTTGCAGAACTGAGCTGCAGTGGTAAACCCAAACTACAGGTGGTGGAAGAGTACTGAACATCCTGTCTCTTACCATAACATGAAGTACATTAGATCCATTTAATTTCTCTGGTTTTGTCTCTCCTCTTTGCGCATTAGAACTACAGATTAATTCCTCAGCAGTCTTTTTCTCTGGCTTCTCTTTTGGCTGATAATACATTGAAATGAGACTGCTGGTTTGTGAGAAGTGTTGAAAATACTACATGGAAGAATGTTATCATTGTGACTCCTGTTTCTTGATTAAGATCCAATCTCTCTGACTGGTGTATCTAATTGACCTATCCTTATGATTTTGTAACTGGCTTTGGTTATTCTGAACAGTCACATAAAAGTTAACTTGCATAAAATTTTAAGAGTCAATATCTGTCAAACAACAGATGCTGCAAAAGTCACAAAGAGTGAATTGTTGTCAAGTGTTGGTAGAAACAAGGCACTGAACCCTCTTACCAGGAAAATAGTTTTTGTTAGAATGGTTTCAAGGAGGACACAAAGGAAGATCTGAGAAACTAGAGACTGGTCAGCCTAACTTCATTCCAGCAAGTTCATGGCTAATAACAAATGGAGAGGGTACAGTCAGTGTTCAAGACTGTTGCTTAGAGCAACTTCAAGGGTATGGAGGAATAAGTCGCTGTTCTGTGTAACTGAAAGAAAGACTTAAAGTGTGAGCTTTGTTATGGAATGTCTGACACTGAGTGCAGGTATCAGGCTGCACTCCTGTGCACCTGAGGAAATCCATGTTGTAAAGGGCAGCCTGTTTGTACCAGGTGCAGATGGCACAGTCAGGATTGTCTTTAGCAAAATGGGTGTGGTGGAGTGAGGGTTTTCTGAATTAATTCCATTGTTTCCTTCCTTCACGATTTTTGACTTAACATCCTTTTTAAGGCAAAATTCCCATAACCCTCTTTTTAAAAGAGCATGTTGTAAACATGAAGTGTGAATGTGAAGAAAGTGTTTTGGACCAGTGACATCTGAGGTTGAATAATAAAACCCAGTTCCTGCCAACTTTTATTTGTAGCATGCTTTGATCAGAGGAAATTGTCTTCCAAAAAATGTTGCTTGAGCACGTGAGATTGTCTGAAAAGAAAAAGCTTGAGTTTGGGGGGTGGGAAGGAGATGGCTGGCAATGGTTATGAATGTTTCAGGACCCTGTCACACGGTGTTTGGCTTCACAGCATGTTGATTCTTCAAGGATGCTGCATTAGCCCATCTGATCCTGAGGGGTGTTTCGTGACTGTGGGGTCTGAGCCAAGGTTTGATTAGGTGGGACTCCCATAATTAACCAGGTAGACCAAGTTTGTTAGCTGTGAGGTGTAACAGTTTTTAAAAATGAAAGTGTGTAACTGGTAAAACATTATCAACAAACCAGGACCATTTTGTAATAGCTTGTTTCAGCTGTTAGTCACCAGCTGTTATAAGGCAATTCGGGGTGCTACGGTTTAATTATTTTTTTCCTTTTCATCCCATCAGCCAGTTTTAATATAAACAACTCTGTCTTGCTGTTGCCAAATTAACAGCTCTGACAGAATCTGTTATGGAACATGCTATGAAAGAAGATGGAGTCTTGTGGAATGCTGCAGTACTGTTAATCAATGTCTTCAGCTGATGGAGTTTCTCCAAGGGCATATTTTCTTCTAATGCTGTAGATTTTATTTTTGTTAAGTAAGCAGTTGAATAAGAAGTGATAGGGATTTTTCCAAGGTGTTATCTTGGGATGTATATCCTTTACACTTTATTCTAGAACACATACCTGGAAGAAAGATGGTAATTTGCATTTTATTGAAAGAGTTGGGCAGCTTATTGCAGGTCTCTCTGATATTTTTCTCTTACACCAAACATGGTTACCTTGAGAATATACTTTATAAAGAAAAAAAATAGTGGACATGTGATGATGGGATGTTGTGCTGTGTTGTTCTTTGCTATTTCTTTGTTTCAAAGTGAAACTATTTCCTTATTAAAATGTTCTGTGTATTGTTGATGGTTGCATGATAAACACTCAGATTCCTGCAAGGCTGTCTGGGTGTCCCTGCAAATCATTCTCATGAAGAGTTTGCTGTTTGTCCCTTCTGTGTTCTGCATGTTCCATCTTGTTCTTGCACATCCCACAGGAATCCTGTTATGTGTATTTGATGGAATTTTAATGGTAGCTGGTGTGATAACTTTTTCAAACCTAATCTAGAAAGTATAAGGAAGGTTTTCACTGTGTTAGCATTGCTTTCACATACATTTAGCAATTTAACACACAGGCTTCGTAGCAAAGATTATTGTCAAGATAAGTGGTTTCTGGATAGTTAACAAAAAAGAAAATATTGCTTCTATGTTAGGCAGATTGCAAATATAGAGAATGGATAACTGCTTTTGGTATAAGAATTTTTATCAGGGGTGAAAGGGGGAGTGTTTAGATTATACTTTCATATTTCTAAAAGAGTTTGGAGGAGCACTACTAAGACTCTTTGGCACTAAAAAGAAAGGTTGTAACTAAAAAGAGGGGGTTAAAATATGCTTCCCTTGAAAACAAAAAAAAGATTACTTCCTTCTTTCAGATGTTATCCTGTAAGGTGCTTTTTCCTAAGAATGTCTTTCCCTTTCTCCCACTTAAACATTAGGATTGGAAAAGTATTCTTAATATATTTTTTAGACCATGATACTGGAGTGCCCTTCTGATTGATGCATTTCAAGTTGATATAAAACATTAATTCTTTTACCTTGAAAGTAAATGAACATTCAGTGTAGAATTGAGCTTTTGGCACCATCTTGTGGAATTCTGTTTGGCAAATAGATGTAGGAGGGTGTAGCCTGAGAAACTGACTAAAAGAATTGCTAGCTATAACTTTAATACTTCTCTGCTGAGGTGAATAGAACTGGTATTGCCAATGACCATTTTACAGCAAGACTTTTTTTGTTGGTGTCATTGTTGGCAAGTTCAAGGGTTTGCAACCAGTTCATTCGGAATCATGTGGAAATCGTCCAGAAGGAATGCTGAGTGAGTAACATGCTTGCAGTGGTCACATTCTGTTCTGTTGTTTTCTTTTAGGGTGTATTGTCTGATCTGACAAAGGTGACTGGTCTTCATGGTCTGGACCCAGTGGTGCTTGTCTTAGTGGTGGGAATAGTGATGTTTACTTTGGGATTTGCTGGTTGTGTGGGAGCACTGAGAGAAAACATCTGCCTGCTGAAGTTTGTAAGTAACATCATTACATGAGGGAATTATTATATGTGTGAAAGTTGCAAATGATGAAGAGCTGGGAGCAAACCCAGATAATTAATAATAGAATTTGGTTTGTGGCAAAGTGTATGGTAAACTTGCTGCCTTGACAAACCTCTCAGTAATGGTATTGAAAGCAGGGTGGTTCCAGCTTATCTATTTTCCTCTTTCTGGAGCATGTTCTTCCCTGCCTTTTTTAATTTGTTCTGCTCTGCAGTAATGTTATAGGAGGTATATGAGAATCTGACATCGTGTTGTTATGGAACATGCTTAATCAGTTAGGAATCACTGAAAGGATATAATATAGTGGGACAAAATCCCTTAAAAACTTCTCAAGTTTCTTGTACATGTTGGCAAAACTTTGGGGCTTCAGTGACTGACGTAAAATTTCTTAAATGGTTGTTTTTATACTGAGACCTCTTCTTTGTTTTAGATCTGAAAACAGCTAAGCTGGACAAAAAATTCCAACTGAAAAGAATTAGAAACAATCCAAGAATTAATAAAAACTTCTTTAGCCCTGTGTTTAACAGATTCTCATTTATTGTTTTCACTGCTGTGAAAAATGACTTTGTCTGATGCTCTTTTTACTGTCAAGTTCAGGTGACAACAACAAAAGGATAATTCTGCCTCTTGGGGTTTCTTTACCTTGTATTCTCACTGTGCTCAGTGTCTGTACTGAATCAAAATTTGAACCCAATTCTGTGTCTGTTTTTGGTGGTATAGGGTTGCATTCAAAATGAATTCATATTTTCTAATTTAGGACTTTTTTTTTTACAGTTCTGTGGAACAATTGTGTTTATATTCCTGTTGGAGCTGGCAGTAGCAGTTATGGCTTTCCTGTTCCAGGACTGGGTGAGGGACAGGGTAAAAGAATTCTTTGAGAATAACATTAAATCCTACAGAGATGACATTGACCTCCAGAACATCATTGATTCGCTACAGAGAATTGTAAGTTCATATCTTTTTACTTCTTTGATGCCTTCTGGGAGAATATAGATTTTCATGTTTTCATTTTTTAAATAGAATTATAATAATTTGTAGCTAATTGTACTGTGTTACAGATGTGCTGGTTTTCTTCCTTCTGTGTTGAAAGCAGCAGGGAGGAAAGATCTCCTGAGATCCAGGCTTGTTCTGATGTCTGTTTTGGAAGCCTCTCTCAGGCGTGCATCTGCCTTTGACCTTTCTCATTTACTGCCCTTTCCCTTGCTCCCTAAGAAAAAAGCTTTCTCTTAAAAAAAATTGTGCAATGGAACTGATTGTAAGACAATTACATCCAAAATGATAATTTTTATGATTTTGCTTGACGTGTTGACACCTGTTTCCAGGAGCAGTATTCCAGATGTATTGCTTTGATTTCACAGAGCTTTGTTTTCATGTCTATTCCTTTTTCACTCTGCTGTTGTCATTGGTTCTGCACAGACTTAGGGATGGTGAGGATTTGTAAACAAACACTTACTGTTTTGAGGTATTTTAGAGACAATTTAGCCACTGTACAAACTTGTGGAATGTATTTATCTGCTGCAGAACCATTGCTGTGGTGCCCAAGGTCCAGAAGACTGGGACTTCAACATATACTTTGACTGCAAGAGTGAAAGCAAAAGTCGTGAGAAGTGTGGAGTTCCTTTTTCCTGTTGTATACCTGATCCTGCTGTAAGTTGTTTCCTGGCTTTGTTTTTGCCCTGAGATTGTCAAGTTATAGCAGGAAGTACTTCCTGAATTAGGTGTTGAAGGGTTTTGAGGTGTCCTAAATGACCAAAAATCACTCTTGTGCAGAGAAACTTTTTTTGTGTTTGTTACATTCTTTTTAGAGTCCAAATGTGGCAGCCTGTTAACTGAAAATGTGTTTGTCACCAGGAATTCAAGCCATTTTAGTATGGTTTGGGTCTGAAGCACTGATGGCTGGCTTGTTTTTATTCCCAGTGTGTTGTTTTCTTGGATCCCTAGCCTTTTTCTGGCTTGTAAAGAGCTAAGAGCTCTAAGAGTGTGTTTACCCAGTTGGAATTCATGTTTCACCACCCCTCTGCCAGACAGGCAGGAGTAACTCATTTGCTGCTTGTTTGTCAGTAATTAGTGAAGTTCTCATGTATGAAGTTGAAAGCTTCTGAGTGAGTCCTTGGTTTTGGCAAGGTTTGGGTGCTTATTGGTTAATTTGTTTTACTAAACTTTGTGAAACATTTGAGCCTTACAGCAGATGCCAAAATGTGGAGGTAGGGGCTGACTTATAGTGCTTTATGATATTACTGGGAATACTTACAACTTAAAATCCATCCAGCAATCCTTGTGCTGAGAGAGCCATTGGCAAGTTATATTTAATACCTGGTAGGCTTCTGATTGTATTGGAAATCAGCCAAGGAAAGCCTTTGTCAGGGACATATTCCATGTTCAGATTCCCCAGTAATTGTTTTCTAGCTTAGTTTGGGGCAGTACTGTTCGACTGCAGGTTTTTCTGTTGCCTCCTTAAATATAGCACCAGCAAAAGGATGCTTTAGTCTGTTTAATGTGAGATTCTGTTATTAATATTTCAATAAAACTTAGTATAAATTTCATAAATGCAGGTGTCTCACCTGTGTGCTGGCAGTCCAGTTTTCATTTTAAAAAGTTACTAGTTGAATGCCAAGTGATAGAAGCAGCTGAGATTTCTGGTGCAGGATATCACCTGATGTCATCCATAGTACACACCTTTGCTTTGTCATTAATTTTCTTTTGTTCTGCTAGGGTTTTGCTTGTTTTTCCTAAAAATGCTTTTAAAAATGCCTGGCTCTGACAATTGATCTGTTTATGGATATAAAAGATAGAAAAACTTACTGTGAACAAAAGTGAGTACAAGTAAATCGATTTGTTTATTTAAAATCTCTTTTGCTTTGCAGCAAAAAGTTGTGAATACACAGTGTGGCTATGACATCAGAAAGAAGGTAAGGTGCTGTCATGTTCTCTGCCTGCATAGACAAAATGAAAAGTGGTGGGATTGCTGATAGATTTGTCAGCTCAAAATTCTAGGAACTAATAGCAGTGCCACATCATACTACAAGTAGAGCAAGGTAGACGTTGTCCTTCGTTTAAAGTAACCTACTGTGGGAGGGGAGAGAAAACAAGTGGGAACAGGTGAGGGGAAAGGTGGGTTTCAAAAAGGGATAGGATGTGGATTTCAAGTGTGCATTTCAAGTACCAGTTGTAATAGTCTGTCTGCTGATCTGTTGTTTGCTAATTTGACCATGTGTTATCTGCTAATTCTATCGTGTTTCTAATAAACAGGATTTTCAGGAAGATACAAATATCAGTGTCTGGCATTCTCTGATTCAGATGTGTCTTTTTGAAGTGTGGTTAAAAACTTTAGTGCAAAAGTGACAAAACATTAGCTTAGCTAGATCATGTGATTGATCTTATAGTAAACTTGAGCAGAAAAGTAATATTCTTATTCTTCCTTTCTACATTCAGAGCAAAAGTCAGTGGGATGATCAGATTTTTGTCAAAGGATGTATCCATGCACTTGAAGCTTGGTTACCCCGAAATATCTACATTGTTGCAGGTGTCTTCATAGCTATCTCACTGCTCCAGGTTAGTTATTGTTCTGATTCTTTGAAAGAAATGTCATGTTTGCAGACAAAGACCTACTGAAGGTAAAAGCAGTTATGGAGAGAGGTAAAATAAATATTTTGAATGTGGATTGTTTAGGTATGGTAAGAGGATGGCAGAAACACCAATTATAGTAAAGGGGAGTTAGTGTGAAAACACCTGTTGCACAAAGCACTGAAAGTTATTATAAAAATACAGTGCAGTAATAATAGTGTGTGATAATTGGGATATATATAGTGTAATATTAATGTGGTCATATGTAATATATGATTATTATATAAAATACTCCCTGTGTTTCCATGTCACTAAGGAGGGGTTATCTGCTCCAGCCTTCTATCACAAACCTGGACTAAGATACAGCCTTGTCCTTCATGCTGTAGGTAACCTACACTGGCTAACCTAGAGTGGTTGTAGCATGCTGCCCAAAAAGGTTGGGAATGTAAGAGCAGGTAAACAGGTGATCAGGTTGCAAATGTGATGTTAGCAGAACTGGATGGAAGATGGTGACTTCTGTTACCTCATCAGTGCTTGGTGCATCAGAGAGGGAGCCGAAACTCTCAGTAAAGCACGTTACATTGCTGCCTTCAAGGTGGATGCTGCTTTCATTGTGGCAGTTGTTTGCACTGTGTTAATTTCCATGCTATGAAATTCCTTCGTTCAGTGGTAAACAATAAACTTTAAATTCTGCTACAGAAAGTATTTTCCATGTAATTGACAATAGTTAGGTCTTCTGCTAGTACTCTATACCCAAGAAGTTCGGACCATTACGACAGGAGTGTAGCTTAGGGTTTGATATATTCTTATCACCATCTGCTGATAATGCTTCCATGGGATTGAGAAATGCTGTGCTAAGAACAGCATCTCTTGCTAGAAAGATGGTCAAGACACAAAGTTCAATCTTTTGGCAGTGTGTTGATTGACTATGTTGTTCTCTATCTGTGTCCCAAGGCTCTGTAAAACCACTTTCAGTTATTTGTATTTTCCAATTAGGTCTTGTGCATTAAGCTATTCTATTGTGGGACTGAGAATTAGACATAATCTACATTTAAATGACTGCATTTAAATGAAATCTTTTAGCTTTCCAAAACTTCACCCCAGTTTTATATTATTGTTAAGAATGTTTTAGGAAATTGGCTGAGTTACAAGTTTATTCTCAGTTTGTAAAGGAAGATTTCCCTGAGAACGGACATGAATGTTAAAATTTGAAATTTAAAATGTCTCTGAATAATCTGGGACTACTCTGTTGTCTGTGACAAGAATTTCATTTTAGCACAGGTAATGGTACATTCTGTCTGTATTTAAAAAAATTGATCTGAAAACTGGGTTGTTATTCAAATTGTGGAACAAATGCAAATGTCTGCTTTGTTGCTTTAGCAGTAGGTAAGCATGGGTGTTTATGACACTCAGACTTGGTTAAGTGGATTTGTTCTAGCTCTAAGGCATCTGAAAGCTTATTATTTTGGAGGCTGCTGAAGTTTTACATGAAAGCATCTTTCTCATGAGTTTTATTACCTGCAGGATTCTGTTGCCTTTATTACCTTTTAGTAATAGCTGTGCTTTGATGGATGATCTTGGCTATGAAATGGTATCTGAACCTGCCAACAAACATATTGCAGACTGGTGCATAACAAGTGTTTTATGTCACAAAATGGTATATTTTTTATCTTTTTAGATTTTTGGGATTTTCCTAGCCAGGACATTGATTTCTGATATTGAAGCTGTAAAAGCAAGTAATGCCTTCTGAATATGAAAGCAGACCCATGTTGCAAGACAGTGTATGTTAACATTATTGATTGGACACCAAGGCAGAAGAAAAGCATGGACTGTGAAATACTCCTGTTGTTAAAAGCCTTACGTGGATTTTTTTTTAATCCTGTTCATGGTTTCTGTTAGAAGCTGTTACAAAAAACAATCACCAAACACACCCTGTCTACCTTTTTTCTAACAAGACAACTCAGCGCACCAGCGTTGATCTCTGAGGAAGAAATGGAATTTCCCAAGACATTGGGAGAACAGATTTTAGAGACTGCAGCAGGGAGCCATGAAACTGCTGTCAACCCTTTCCTTGAAGGATTGCTAAGAAGATTGTTCTGTCTTCACTCCTGTCTTGTCTTAAAATGTAATCTTTTCAAATGTCTCATGCTGATTTCTTCAGAACCTTGCAATCATATTAATCTCTCCAGTAGACTTTTCCAGTTGTTTTTGGCAACATATCCAGTAACAATAATTGGAAATTGGGAAAACAATCACAAAATGTCTAGACCTTCAGTTGATTTTACGTTGTGCAAACCCCATACTGTTTTGAAAAATGCAAGCCGGCTCCTGAGATGAGAAAAACCGGACTATCTGTAGCATTAAGTCTTACAAATCTCCATTTCAGGCAAGAGGGTGTAAAGCCCTGATGCTGTTTCCTGTCTGAGAAAAATGTAAATATTCTTTATTTATAGAAGAAAAACCTCTTTAAAAATGCTTATCCTTTCAATGATCAGTAATATCTTTAAAGAGTGCTGTCTGCATACACTTCAGAATGCTGCTTGTTTCATTAGGCAGCAAGCATGCTGTGCTAGCTGTTGATGGCTTTTGTTATTCCTCTAGTTTCTCTCACAACTATGTTGATCTTCACAAGTCTTAACTGCCGCTACTAGGACTGATGAAATACTTACAAATTCAGTGTTAATCCTTACTGAAATATGGTTTTAAATAAGGAAGTACAGATTTAGCAAAATATTAAAATTGTTGAATTTTAAAGTCTTGTATAAAGCTATTGAGCCATCAATTCTGCCCAGTTCATGGTTCAAATGTGAATCAAAATGCAGTGAAGCAGAATGATTTCTTCAGTCATTTTCTACATGAAGCTGAATTAGTCCTCCTTATGTCGGGGTTTTTGTTTTAATCAAGAGAAAAGTAAACTCTTCTTCCAGTCCTCCCTTTGTGGGGGTTAGTAGATGGATCTGTCGGTCAGTAGGAGTTCCAGTCTCTTCTGTAAGACTTTGGTGTTGTACCCTTAGCTGTAAGGTGAAAGTCTGGCTGAAAAGTTTTTGGAAGTAGCTGTAGCTGTCAGTCTTACTGCAGGCCATGTAACTAACATCATTTACTGCTTCCAGTGACACCAGGTTTTTCAGGGAGAGCTGGTTCACTTACAGTGCCTAATGCAGTGTAAATCTTAGAAAAGTATCTATTTTTATAATGCTATTTTACTATATGTAGTGTGCCTGAAGGATTTAATACCTGTATTTCTAAAGTATATGGCTTTCTTTGGAAGCCAAGCTTTTAAATATATTATGTCCTTTTTTTCTATTATGCATGTATTAACGAACATCTCACTGGCAAAAGTTGATCAACAGTAAGAATCTTTGTGTCTGGTGGATTGTCCAGACATCCTTCTAGCTTGTAATCTGTGAAGCACTTCAGACAGTGCTCATGTGTACTTCAGTTTTCATACTTCTTTTTCTGGCCAGTGATTGAGACACAACAGGAAAAGGAAGCTTGTCTAAGGATGGCTGATTTCCTTACAGTAGCAGAGAATAGTCTGCTATTAACTCATCTGAAAACCTGAAAGTGAAATGGCTGGAAGTACACCGTGACTTTTTAAATTTGGTATACAACAAGAAAACAATAGCAGTAGATCACTGAGGGGAGAGCAGGAGGCATTTCTTCTGTAAAGCTGTGAATTTGAGGTCTGCATTACCTATTTGTTGAATCTGATCCATGAGGAGCAGCCAGAAATGTGTGATTGTACTACAACTTAAAACTTGGTAAGCAGCAGAGCAGTGGCCAGCAAACTTTGCTTTAAATTCTGGTGCTTAAAACTTTGCAACACCTCATCAGCCAACTTACTTGGTTAAGGTTATGTGTGGTAATCTGATGTATGTAAAATCAGAGAAGGAAGATTGTTATTTGGAGCTTTTTAGTCGTAAAACATTGCATTGAAAAACCAGCTAGGGAGTACACTTCCCTTTGCCAGTTTTTGACACAGCCAGCTCCTAATGCTGGGAAGGAATTCCAGGGATTTGGTGAAAATCATTCTGGTGTCAAAGATGGCTGTGGAGTTCTTGCACTGAAATTAGCTGCCGACAAAAGCCAGCATTACAGATTAGGATTCCAGGGTCTGCAAATCTTGCCAAGTTACCTGAAGACTAATTAATACTTGGTTTTTTTCAAGTACTGTTTGTATGCAAACCAGAATTTAACTGAAATATTCTTTCCACCATTTGTTCTTAATGGCTTTGGCTGTATTAACACCAGCCTTTGTATCAGTGTTTCAGTTATTTGGAACTGAATTTGAGAGAAGTTCAGTTTATTTGATGACCTTTAAATTCATGGAGTGATTTGTCTTTTTTGCCACTGTGGATAGACTTCTCTGTGCTTATTCAGTATAATTTTTAAAATCCTGGGGCTCTAGGTTGTTTTGCCCCTGTATGTTCTGAAGTACATCCATACGTGCTAGTGTAAGTTCAGATTTATAATGGGAACATTTTCTACTTAGTTTTATTTAGCACCTTCTCTGTGGACCTGCAGTGACTTCATGGCTAAAGATTTAGGTTACGGCCTAAAAAAAGTCTTGTCAGCAAAAGCAGCTGGGTATGAGCCTGCCTCTGAAGCCCCAAAGAAAAAGTAGTTCAGTGATCTCACTGAGGGGTTTGATACCTTGTTGATGTTGAGATTTCAGCGGTTGCATTTGGAACAAGTTCACCAACACTACAGTGGAACCAAGGTTTTTCATGAAGATGTCAAAAGAGGTCAGACTTGAAGAACTGGACTGAAGCAAACTTCAATGTGATCACATTTATTTCTCAGAAATGAGCACAACTTACTTCCGTTAAGCAATGTATGTATGTGTCAGTCTGTTTGACAGTGCAACTGCCTCTGGCTTTATTGCTGTAACTGCATTGGACACAGTTTCCCTGTACGTGAGGAGGAGGATGAATATAAGCATTGAAAAAAGCGCAGTGACCAAAGGACCTTGGGTTGCCTTGTGAAAACCTGAATGTTTCTTCCCAGGAGATCTTTAGCTTTGGTGAGCTCATGCAGTGCCATGTGGACAGACTTGTTCTTCCAGTCCATGGAGCTCGATGTGGCCATTGATTTATGTGTAGAATTGCCTTGGGTTTTGTATCCCCATTCCATCCTTCCCTCTTTCTTCCCCCTACTGCCTGTGCATTGTCATGCAGCTTGAACGTTGTTCAGCCAGTGGAAGGGGAGCTCCTGTCTCCTCTTCTGAGATGGCTTTTCTGAGTGACTTTCAATGTATTTTTTTTTCTCAAGCCTTAAATTTGATTAAATAAAATTCAATATTTTCTACTCCTGGAGTTGGATTCCTGAGATTTGTTGCTTCCAGTCACTAATATTTCACTCTCAAAGGTTTAGACTGGCTACTGAGATTGCAGTTTGTGGATAACTCGGAAATGGTGAAGGTCCAGAGGTGCTGGTTTTTGTTTTGCTGAACTAATTCTTGATATTTTTTCTTTTCAGTTTGGGCTGTTGAATAATAGATAAGACTGATGCTTTTCTCTGCATTTTTAATGGAAAGCCATGAGCAAGTGAAGAGCTGCAGAATGGTGTAGAGTAACTATTAAATCTCTGGGCATCAAAAAAGTTTACAAGTGCTGTTTTTCTTTTCTCCTATTATGTGGTCAAAACTTGTTTGTGTGTTACTCAACAAGTGTCATTTCTCTTGGGTGGTTTTATGAAATTCCCTTTCTCAAGGCTATTCCTGAGAGTGATATTTTGGTGATGAGTGTCATGGGCTAAGTAGTGTTACTGGGTTTTGCAAGTGGGAAAGCTTTTGCAGGAACAAAGTTGTCATGTTTTTTTTTTTGCAGACATAAGCCAGTTGTTCTCAGACTGAAAACATGAAGCCTTGTTGACTTCTAAATACAGCCTGCTTTATAATAGGTTTCTGAAGATCAGTGCTGTTTATTTTTTTCCCAATGGCTCTTCTGCTGGCTAAAAAAAAAGTAGTTGCTCCCAAGCTTTTCAGTCTCTACCACTTCATTGTTTTGAATTTGATTTTCTAGGTCTGGACAGCATGACTGCAATGTACCTTCAACTGCTTCAAAAATTTCCCATAAGAACAAGTTGTGGAAGAGAATCTGTTACCTTCTCATCTAGTGACCTTTTTAAATACAAAAGGATTCCACAGAAATGTTCAGAGACATTTGTTTTACTGCATTTCTTTTTTTCCATTATCTGAAGTTAAACCCAGGCTCTCTTATGGGTGATAATAGAATGCTGGCTGCCTTCATGTCCTCACCCCTGCCCACTTGTAATTTCTGACTGTCTTTATTTCTGTGTCTTGTCCACGCACTGTGTGTTCCCTGACTGTGGTTTCTTGTAAACTTTGCTTCTGCAGAGTCTCATTCCAGTAGGTGCAGCTCTGAAATCAGGACAGGACTGTAGCCTCAAGTATTTAGGAATATAACTTGTGACAGGAGCAGGTACAGTTTCAGAGATGGGCTTTAAAATTGGAGATTGAAGGGGGAGTTAGCTTCAAGATAGTTTTGGTTTTGACATGTTCACCTAACAGTTGGGCTCACAGTGTCATTCACAATGAGAAAGATGTTGAATTGGTGCCAGTCAGCCCTTTGCATTGTTTAAGCTATTGCTTTAATCTAACTCTTATTTCAGGTTGCATGATAAAAGCTTAAGATTTTTATATAATTATTTAACAATCCCATTGATACAAGAAGAATTGCAAGTGTGTATCCTAATCTCAGAAAACCAAACCACTGAAAAATGTATAATGAATGGTAATTGCCTGATCTTTCTCCTGTGATGTTTCTTAACCCCATTTGCTTGACAGGACTTTTTCTGCTCTGCATTAGTGGCTCAGTGAGGAGCAGCAATGGTGCAAGCATCAGGACCAAGACATGTGCTAATGTGGAGTTTTTCATACACAGCTTTCAAAGCAGGAGCCTGACAGGACTTTCTGCTCTGCGTTAGTGGCTCAGTGAGGAGCAGCAGTGGTGCAAGCATCAGGACCAAGACGTGTGCTAATGTGGAGTTTTTCATACACAGCTTTCAAAGCAGGAGCTGCCCCTGGGTTCAGCAGTGTTGGTTGTGCAGCAGCACGACAAATGCAAGGGTTGCAGAGCTGGTGGTGTGTGCCTCAGCAGCAGTGCTGGCTTGCCATGTGGGAGGAGGGAGGTTAGTGGGGCGTCTCTCCTCTCAAAACCTGTAATGTTGTGATGGCTTCCTTGACCACATCTGCATTGCTGTGACTGCAGAGTTGCTCGAGGGTGTCTTTGATCTTGTCCTCTTCTATTTCTTGTCTCAGATCACCTGAATGGGAAATGAAACAATGACACTTAGTTACCTGCCATGGCGTAGTGGCTCCCAACAATTGTTGTAAGATAAAAGTTTGGAGTACTTGCTGTTCATAATAAGCTGCTTCAATTAAAACATTAGTTTCAATAGATACCCTTTGAGCCATTGGAAGTATTGGCCAGAGTATATTTCCTCCTACTTGACTTCTGAGAACTGATTGACAGAAAAAAGAAAATTTTGACATTCAAATAGAATTTCTGGCACTAGTTTGTCTGTATGCTTTTTGCTACCATTCCCGTATTAGTAAGACTCAACTCTTAGCCTTACAGTTAGTCTATAAAATGCTAAGTACATACATCTCTGGAAAAAAGTCTTATAGATTGTGTCTGTTACGTCAATACTTCATAGTAGCACTGAAAGCTGCAAGTTCTTTATCCTTATTCCAATATCTGTGTGGCAACAGGGATAAAATAGAGAATACTGCAAAATCCAGCTTGTCTGTCAATACAGGATTTAAAAGGCAGCTCACCTTGTGATCCATCCTTGCCCAAGTAAAATTGTTATTTTCAATTTATGTAATTTTTTGTGTTAAGATGTGAGACACTGCCACAGGATTTTTGGACTCCTGGTTTCAAGGTGATGGTTTTTTATTGCTACACATCTGGGATAGTCCCATTCTGCAGGAGGCATTTGAGATCTTCCCTGACCATGGAGTGAAACTGAAATGGTGCCCTTCACATGCTTTACTGAGAGTCACTGTGTGAAGGCAGCATTGCTGAAATGGCTGCTTTATCTCAGCTTCTGGTTTGCTCACAGCACAGGCAGAACAAATGTATGCCTGCCTATGAGCATGGTACAGACTCTTTGGACACAAATGCTCTGGGACTGCCAGGCATTTGTGCATAGTGAAGCTGGACAAAGATGCTTTTACTCCATGACTCTAATTTTGGTATTTTGAGACTTGGTTACATCACTGACTCACTGGAATAATGCCTTCCTCTCTCTTTATTTTATTCAACTAATGGTTTAATCAGCTTTTCATAGAGAAAGAAACTACTTGACTATAATTTTTGGTGATCAATACAGAATAAAATTCTAATATCCTTTACTTATTCACTGGAGCTTTGCAGGCAGCATATTTTGGTAACAGAAACCACTTGTCTTCACAAATATTCATCCTTCCCTCACAGACAACTGAAAATGAAGTTACCTGAATTAAGAAGTCTGCACAAAAGGCCCAATGAATTGTATTTCACCTCAGGACTTGTGTTATCATCTCGTAGAAGTTTGTGTAAGCTTTGAACTAGCTGTGATTCTTTAAAAGATTCTTCAAGAGTTTCTGAAAAATAAGCAAAGAAATGGTAACCCTGAGGTGTTATCTGAAAAGAAACTTTAAAGTGAATATGCTTCCTTTTTTAAAGGAAGTTCTGGACTGGCTTCATTTCAAACTGGCTATACAGGGATGTCTTGAGCATCTGTCTTCTGCACTGGAGAATTTCTGTGCTCTTTTCTGTACTGAATTTCTTTAGTGGCCCTATTCCGGAAGACAGGACCAGTCTACTATTGACTGTGTATAGTTAACCTTGTAGTAAATTAAAACCTGCAATGTTCAGTGCTAGAAATGTTGATTCCCATTAGTTGCCTAAATTATTTGAGAGTTTTAATGGTAGAGAAGCAGTAAAATGGGCTCTTGAGTCTTACATGTTGGGAAAGGAAATGACAAATTTCAAGTTTATTTTTCTTTTCAATTTACCTTTTAAGGTACATAGATTTCCGTGGTGTCTCTCTATTGTAATAAATTCAGACCTATTTTCAAGTTATACAGGATAAGTCTGAAAACATTTGTTCCTAACTCTGAAAATGAGCTCAGGAAAAGTAATTTGAATCTTTATCATTTTCTCACTTGCTTTATTTGCAGCTTCTACAATGCCTTTTCATTTATGTTTCTGCATTATTCTTTCCTTATGTCTGTTTGAACATTATTTCTGCTACTTACAGTCTTCATTGACTATTTGAGTATATTACTTGTCCTTATTTAGCCTTTATCATCTCATTTTTATCTCCATCGCCTTCACTTCCCCCCCCCTTTTTTTTAGGTTTCTAGCATCATATTATGCTGCTCAAATAGTGCCTGTCCACACAGCATGATAATTTGACTCTATCCTAAATAAACAAAACCCTTCAGGCCATTCCCAAAGCAAATTGATTTTATGATCTGAATGGTGACAACCTTTATTTCATGCTGAAGAGCTAAATGTAGACAAGAAATGTGCTTTTTCTTACATGTTACCTAGAATTAACAGCATGACAATGTTTCTTAATAATTGAGGATCTTGCACAGATAAATGCTTTTAGGAGGAAAATACCTAAATCGATGGCAGATGCTATTGCCAAGGCATTCAGAGCCTCATTTTGCATGGCAGCATGTTCACTTGTTGTCATGGAAACCAGATGCTTCACTCCTTGTGCTGCCTGGATGGCTTTGACCACTTCCTGTGAAAGCAAAGGTAAAACAGATGGAAATCTAATGTAGGAATGCAGTAGAATGAAGAGGGAAATGAGATTGCACCCTTCAGCTTCTGAATAGAGGGAAATTATTTGTTTGCTGCAGTGCAAACTGACAATATTCAAAGACTAGGGATAACATTGCTTTTGGCACTGATCATACATGTCTGCTTAGGGCTGGTCTAATATACCTGGAATATCTACACTTAGAATTAACTATAGGTGCATGTCTGTAAGATAAATTTATATTTTGTCTCATTTCAATTTGTCCTTATTCCACTCTTTCATTTCAAGCCATCAAACTAGCAAGAATTAGTTTTGCTTTATCAAAGCCTGTGCAGAGAGTATCTACTTTAGTCAGTACCTCATAGTAAGGCATGGCTGGGATACTTGTGTGTAGTAGCACAATTTACGAAAGCAGAAGCCTGTTTGAGAATGCCAGCATGTAAAGGTCATGCCAGATTTGTCCATCATGGATAAGTGGGCTCTTTGGGGTGTTCAGAGGACTGATATTTAGGACAGCTCTGGCTTAATTTTACCTTTTTAATTTCTTTGTAATTTGAAACATGTTTATGGCCATAGAAAAGCTTTACCTGCTTACTACCATTTGTCAGGCCTTATTCAAGCAGGGTCAATGTTGACAAGTGACAGTGAGTGACCATGGTGCTGGTTTCTGTGAGTTGTCTGTGCCTATGGAGAACACAGGTTTCCCCCTTACTGGTATTGAGGCAGACCAGAGAGGTTGTCACTGTGAACCTTCATGATTTTCATTATAAAGCTGCGTGTGCTGTTTAATCCCTAGCTCTGTCTACAAGCTTTAAAAATACTTGAGAAAGGTGCAGTAGAAGTCTGCAGAGCAGGGGTTCTGGTACCTGGGATCTGTTGTGGTGCAGGATGGATGCCAGCAGCCGGTTTGCCTCTCCGCAGATGCCGCTGTGGTCGCTCACGCTGCACCACTGCACCAGCCTGTTGAGCAGCAGGGGGTCTTGGCCCAGGATTTCGGCTGCATCAGCTGAAGAGAAAAACATCACCAAGAGGCATTCAAAATCAGACCCCTCAGTCTGTCTGCCACAGGAATGCCAGTGTAGAAGTAACTGGGGTGGTGGACCTGTGCTCAGCAACTTTCAAGAACTCTAATTGAAGCACTGAGCTTTTAAAAGATCTTGGAAATATTTTCCAAAGGAATCATGGAGGGGAAAGACAAAATAAGCTGTGTCAATAGAATCATTTTAAAGGGGCTGCTGAAACAGGGCTTAAAATAAGCAACTTTCTGCCTTTGAAAACAAATATTCTGTTGTGATACTTCAGGAGATCCATCCCCTTCCCACTTGGCTTTTGGCACTTGCACTTCGAGCCCTGCACAAATGTAATTGTGGGCTCTTGGGAGCCTGTTCGTGCTGTTTTGGTGACAATCCATTACTGCTGGTAGTGTGGGAAGCCAAGTCTTGTTACAGAATAGCAGTGTGTCAGTAACTGGATGACCTGAGTCTTAAGAATGTGTGTTGAACCATGTGTAAGGCATTATCAGAAATTCCCCTTACTGTGGAAGAGCCCTTTAATTTGCATTTCCCTGTGTTTCAGGAACCCTATCTCAAGACTTGCTAGAAATATTTAGTGTCTGTGGTTGACATTTGAAGAAACCTCACGAGATAACTTGTCCTAGGAAATGGAACTCTAATTATGTGAACATCTGTAACAGAAGGGATATGTTTGATAGAGGCATCACCCTGCTCCTCTTCCTTTAGCTGTCCCTTTCTCTGTGCACTGCGTTTCTTTTGAGATAGACTGGAAGAACCAGATGGAGTGTGCACTAGAAGGTCAGTGTCAATAAACCACAAGATTGCTCTGGATATTTTCCAGAAGCTGTAAGTCAGCCTATGCTCTGTCGGTTTTGGAGAAGGGAGATGGGGAAGTGCACGCACTTTTTCATTTGTCCAGTACGCTAAGGAACAATCCACATTTCAAAATCCCACAAGGAATCTGGGAGCTTATAGTCTGGCTGGCATACTTTGTTTTGAGACAAGAGTTACTGGGCATTCAGAGCTACCTACATGTTGTCTCCTGTAACACAAGACTCTTGTTTCTAGTCAGATGTTCCTAGTTAGTCTGCAGAGATCACAGTAATCCAGCTTAGTACAGGAAGTTGAAGTAAGAGGCTGGAGGATGGAACCAGTTTAAGAGATTTGTGGCGAAGGTGGGTTCTTAACTCAGTTTGACAGGCAGTAGAGCTCTTTGAGATAAATTCCAGTTAGTTACTCTTAGCAGGAAGACCTTTATTCAAATTTGTCATTTTAAGAGGTTGAACTTTCAGTTGTGCTGAAAGTCCTTTGGCTACTGAAGTGCACAAATTATTCTGCTCCTCTGAAGCCAAATGGTGGAAGAACCAGGAGCTAACATCTCTTTAGAGTAATGAAGCTGACAGATCTGCCTGCAGTTTTCTGTGGTTAGGAAGAAACCTGCCTCTTCTAGTCTGTAAGCCTCAGCGTGTCTGCTGAGAGTCAGAGTAATGAATTTATACTAGATAAGGCAATTAAGTAATTTAGTGTGGACTTCTTAGTAGATGTGTGTTCATAAGGGTTTCAGACTGAGTTAATTAAAGGCAATGTTAGCTTGTGGGTAAACAGAATAGAAGGTAATTAAAAGTAGGAGAATTGTGTGTTCATAGGTGGGAATGGATAAACATTGAGTCTCCTACATATTTTATTCTACTTTGCATTTTGATAAATTAATTTGATAATGAATAAATTAATGATAAATTTGATAATTAATTTGTTTCAGATTCAGAAGTGCCAAATTCTGACTTTGTATTAGGGCTGGTAAATAAAATTAAAAAAGATAATTTAGTGTTTGATAATTTAGATCTATGTTACCATGATGTCTCAATTTTGAATGTTAAATGCCTTGTCACAATTGAGATATAACTTTGGAGAAATGACCTTACAGTGACTTCTTCAAAGCCTCAGAACAAGAAGATGCTAGGTTTCTATGTGTCTTGTAGTGTTCATTTCCTACCACAGTGAAATGTAAGTGAAAGCAGCTTTTCACTGGACTGAAAGTAGTGCAAATTAATAGAAGGACTAGATCTAAATTTTCTATCATGCATGTTAATTTGATAAAATAGGCAAATAGTTCTCATATTAAGTGGTGTCTGCAGTAGTGCAATGGAGTGCAGCATGGAATGTAGCAGAGTGAGGTTTTATCTTCTTCCATATGACTAATGAAGTGATGTCTGTAATTGTCCTATATCAGTTATCACTTACCATCACAAGATGGTCTTAACTATTCTGGTTTTAATGTATGTTACTCCTGCATATCAAAGAATCAATACTGATTAATGCTCTAGAGCAGCTGCTCTGGCAATGTGAAAGACAGTACCAAACTGCATATGGCACTTGTTTTGTGTCACTGTCTGGTAAGAGATAAGCAAGCCTAAGGATAAATTAAGATATTGAATTATATCTTAATGTAATTCCAACACTGCATTTTGAGAAACATGCACAATGATGTGCACAGAAAGATTATTGCTGCTTTTGCATACCCCCTCTGTGTTAAACTGAATGAAGTACAAGGAGATAATCCAATACATTAACATGAAAAGTAAATTCAACATTTGAGCCACGTGAGCAAGATAAAACTGGCAACATGTATAGAAAGACTGGTAGAAATTAATTTCTCCTGCCTTGCTCCACCCCAGCTCCCTTTATTCATTTTGTGTTCTCTAGTTCTTTATTGATTTGCTGTCCTGAGATTAGACATTAAAACCTGGCTCTTTTTCATCATGCTCATGCCTTGCTGCTGCTGTGTCTCTGGTGAAAAGCATCTTTTTAGGCCTTTGCCCATTCTCACTGACTGCTGCAGATTTGTTCCATGTGGTTTGTTTCTCAACTACCTCTGAGGCTGACTGGGGCAGTCTGGAAAGCATGCAGCCTCTGGCAATAATCTCTGCTGGAAGCTCTCCAGATGGAGTGGAATTGGGTTAGCAGGACACTCAGCCTGTAGTCTTGCGCAGCTTGTTTTGCAGGGGAAGGGAGGAGGGGAGCTCATGGATGATCTCAGTGAAGTTGCAGGTGCCTACCTTGACCATCTGCTAACATCCGTAATGTTCCGAGGAGTTTAAACTGCACAGGAGGGCTCTCTGACCTTAGAAGCGCCTCGATCCGCTCTGCAACACCTTCCTCCAGCATCTGAACCTTGCTGACAACTAGGAAATGGGAAAGAGGGGTTGATGTGAGGCTCAGTAATGGCACAAACATCCGAAAATGTAGATATAACATAACTGTTGTGAACTGTGTGCTGTGTTAGGCTTCTAGTGAAAAATCCAACTTGTTAGCAAGCTCAGAAATTAAGTCAGGACTACCTGAGTGCTTCGACTTCTCTTTTGGGCTAAAACTTTCATAGGAACTGCTCTTGGGTATTTTTGGTCACTTTTGATCTTAGCCCTGCCCAGTGCAAAGTACATAAAGCGCAGCATTGTTGTTTCTCTTCCTTTTTTTAGTTGTAACAGATTATCCATCCACTTGCCCAGTCCACATGAGAGCCTGTTCTGTGCTAGCTCATCTTAACTGAACTGGGGCCATATTTCTTGGAAATGGATTTTCTCTTTGTATTTGAGCTCACTGATGCCCTGTTGTTCATGCCTTTGTTTCTGTGCTTTCCTTTCCTCATTTTTGTGTCTTTGCTCCAGTGGTTGGTGCAGTAAATCCCTTGTAATAATCAGAAGCTTGTCTGCAAGGAGTCTTAATACTGCTTAATTGTGCTACCAAAAGCTGCTTCCTCCAGAGCAATTTTTTTCCTATCTTCTGCATATATTTCTGGGGGAGTGGTGAGGAAGATTGGACAGTGAAATGAGGGAATTAACTGTTATATCCCTCATCTTTTTATTGGGCAAATTGAGAAGCACACCCTGTTAGGTAACTTGCTCTTAATGTCCTTGTTCTTCAGTGGCACAGACTGACTCCTTTTACTAGATTGTAATGACTTTTTAATTTTTTATAAGCATCTGTTATCTTTTAAGATCAATGCTTGAATTGAAGAGTTTTCCATGTCTATTTCCAAGTGTTCACCCATATTTAATTCATGTTTATGGATTTCCACTCAGTGTCTTCATTTTTCTTTTTCAGGTAACAGATTATATTATTAAAAGCAATAGAGTGTGTGTTTCTTGAAGTTAGAGAATACCTAACAGATATTACAGATAAATTACAGATATTTTTATGAATTGATGACAAAAAGTATATTGTAGGAATAGCTTTTTAAGTGTCCACACACTTGGAAACATCTGAAATGGTTTGTAATGGACTTGAAGAAAACAGATAATCAAAAAGCTGAATGTTGATGTTTTATAATTGAGTTGAGCTTTTTAAAATGCAGATTCAAAGAAGATTAGGATTTACTAGTTCTGTATAATATTAATGAATATTAGCGTTATAGAGGAGAAAGTTTGACATCCCTACCAGGTGTCTCCACCCCATTTTCCGTATTTTAAGCTATGAACCCTGTTCTGATTTTTTTTTTTTTTTTTTTTTTTTTTTTCTTGAGCTGCCGTGTGCTATTAATATGAAACTACTTCAGCAGCTGGTAATAAGATTCCAGTTTATGATATTTAAACTCTTGATGTAGATGAGAAACTCCTGATGAATTATTCAAATATATGTTCCTGCAGGGGAGGAGGAAAAGGTCAATTGCCCCTCAGAACACAAGGGGCTGGTATTGGTGCTGGGACAGAGGTGCAGGGATGACCCCTGTGTGCAGAGGGTGGCAGTGAGTCTGTGTCCAGCTGTGCACCTGGGACAGCGAGGCTCTGCAGGGCGCTGAGCGCAGCCTGTTGCACTGAGGTGTCCCCGCTCCGCACGTGCTTCTCCAGCAGATCCAGGAGCTGGTGGATCACCCCCAGCTGCAGCAGCCGCAGACAGTTCCCGTCTGAAGAGAGAGGCACAACCAAGCAGGTGAGAGAGGTAAGAAACACAATGGGTGATGCAAAATCAGAATTCAGGGAGTCTTTGCCTTGACTGTTCATGTCTTGCTAAGATCAAGACTATAGCTTTTGCATTGCTTTTTGCAACCTTCACCTCTTTAGAGAGAAGTGAGCATCAGCTACCTGTAAACTGATGCTGAGACAGATTCCAGTGGAGCTTAGCTCAAGAGAGCTTTCAAGGGGCAATCGCTGTCAAATTCAAAACCATAGGTTCCCCAGTCCCTTTTGTTTTCCCTCAGTACTGCTGCATTTTCCACTATACATGTAGTAGAATACCAGTGGCATTTTTCATTTCTCACCAGGACAGCTTTAAGGCTCTTTAATTTTGCTATTCTACTGATTTAAGACGCTACTGTGAAACCAGGGATCTTACCCACCAATGGTAAATCTGATTACTAGTTCTGTACTGCTGTTATTCTTTGTTTCTATGAAATAAATTGTCATTAATGACTCCTTGAATGAATCAGAGCTGGATTTTTCTTACCTTTTTTGAGAAACCCTTTTTCTGAAATGAGAAGTCTATTTGTGCTGCACTCACATGAAGCTCAGAAAATGAGTTGTCCTGAAGAGATCTGGTTTATTAAATCCCAGTGAAAGAGCAGATTTGTACATTCCAAAAAACCTACCACTATGCCCGGCAATGCTCTGCAGTATTTTGTCAGTGCTTGTCTGGATGTCTCCTCCTGTCTTTGCTGGACAGGTGGCAGCTTTGTTTTCAGAAGCTGCTTAGCTCACCTTGTTAGGAAATGAGGAAGTTCTGCTAAGGAGCAAAAGGAAGCCCTCTGTGCTACAGATGGCATCCTTTCTGGAGGAAGTTTTTTGAAGATGCCATTTGGAAAATAATTTTCTGCATTTTTCTTTATGCAGTTTGCTATGCCCAAAGAGAAGTATATGCCTGACACACATTAATATCTCCTTATTGTGTGCTTTTACCTTGTGAAAGCTGTTTGTTGAAAATAGCAAAACAGTGTGAACACTAAATAGAAAGACAAATTCACCTGGAATAAAGAGTTATCCATGGAACTGCACACACCTCATGCAAATACGTGGTCTGGCCAAAAGTAGCTCTAGTACTTTGTTGCAGTAATAAGCAGATGGGACTCAGTTTCTTCATGCAGAAAAGCCAAATGTTACAGCTCATTTTAGTACAGTTTTCAAGAGCTCATGTATAACTGTAATTGGTTCATAGCTTTCTTTCCACTCAAGTAATTAGTTAGAAAATGCTTGTGTGTGTATATGTGCTAAAACTGCCTCTTTACCCAGGTGTTTACATATTTTCTTTGCGGATTCTCATGGGAAAGACTCCTTGTTTTTTGCAGGTGCAAATGGTTCTCTTTCCAGAATAGTTTGTTGTGCTCACTGCTTCTCATTCCTCTGATTCTTTCTTATGGGAACTTAGAGGCTTAGCTGGTAATTCAGCAGAGCAAGGCCTGATTTTATAAGGCCTTTTTTTAATAATATCGCTACCTGTATGCAACAGTACTTCTCATGGTTCTAACTGAATTTACAGACTGAGGTGTACAGACTTCTAATTTTTGTATGTGTAGCGTGTAAGAGGGGCCTTAGTAATTTTAATAGTTTTGCTGGTTTGGATGTTATTTCCACCTCAAAGTCATAGACACTCCTGTTGGCTTTTAAATGTGCTGCCTTTTGAACGAGTGCCTATTATTCTTTTCATCTCTTAACATTTCACTTAGTAGTCTGTTTTTCCTCTGTATTCTTACATATGTTAGATCAGAATTTGTCAAATGCTTTAAAAATGTAGTTGGATATGTTCATGAGGGAGCTGTCAGTCTGTGAAACAGTTAGAATTCTACTCACACAGAAGTATTTTGATACCATTTTATGCATACATTCTCTAAAGCTGATGGTTTTGCTTGTCATTCTTCAAGTGTTTTCTTGCCTAGTCCTAATCCTTGGAGATCAGAGTATATGAGGAAAATTGCCCAGTCCTCCTTAAGAGTAGGCTCCATAGAAATAGGTCACCTCTTTTAGTCTGATAAAGTTCTACAGGGAAAGTATTTTGATCTTCAGATAGACTAACCTTAATTGAACTTAATTTCTCTCCTTCCCCCCACCTCTCAAACTGAAGAATGTCAGAACATTTTTTTACCCTCATGTAGTAAAGTGCAAATAGGCAGAGCCCATTAGTGGTTGCCTTGCTTTGATTGTCACAGAGTTCCAAATTGCTTTTCTTTCCTATGGAGTTTTTGCTTGGATAGCAGCAGAACATCCAATTTAATGGCTCATAGTTAGTCTGATAGGAACAGCTACTTTTCATAGCTGCAAAAGCTGTCTGTCATCTTTTCACTGCCTAGAAGTCATTTGATGCTGAGAACAGATTTCCATAGGATTTTTTTTTCTCTCAGATTAAAAGCTGTGCATACATCAGTGGCACACACTGAGGCATGAGAGGGATTATTCAGTTCTTCCACACGAAACATCTAATGCTGTGGTGGGGAAAATGGGAGGAGAAGAGCAAGTGACAAAGCAAGCCATTCAGCTGAGTAAATTGAAATAGCCTGTTGAAGGCACTGGGGGCACTTCTGTGGCCTTTGTAGAGCCATGATGCACAATGGCTGATTCAGAACAAGGTATGAGGCAAGGAAGAAAGGGAGTCTAGAAAGGTTGTAAGGTAGAGGTGAAGAGATGTATGGATGATAGCTTGCTTTAAAAAAACCCCAAAACCGACATTCAGACAGATGTGAGGGAATTTTTCCTAATAATTAAACACCTATTAATGCAGAAAGTTGAGCAATTTTGTTAATTGAGTTTGAAGCCAGTACAGTAGCTATCAGTGAGATAGGACAGGAAGTGTGGGGGGGATCTTTTGCTGATTGATTGAGCACAGCATGCTTTCAAGGAGTCTGCTCATAAGAATATCTCTTTCTGTCTGCAGAGTATAAAGGCTCATTACTTTCTATAATAGGAATTGAAAGATAAAATGGCTTATCTTGAGATTTCTTCCCATCTCAATATCTGAGAAATCCTCCCTTCCTAAAAGTGATTTGAAATGTAAAACAGCAGTAACTCTGTGGGTTTTTTGTTTGGGTTTTTTGTTTGTTTGAGGGTTTTTCTGTGTGTTTTGTGGGTTTTTGGTGTGTGGGGGTTTTTTGTTTGGTTGTTTCTGTTTTGGTTTTTTTTTAATTTCTAAGAAATATATTTGCCATTAAGTATTTCCAGAGATTCCTCTCTAATAAAGTGTGGTTCAGCAAAAAAAAAAAAAAACAACAACATTGCAAAGGCTTGCATACTTGATCACCCCTTTTGTTATGATTATGCCCCCCAAATTCTTTTAGTATCAGTAGCATCTGTAACTTAAAAGCATGCAAGTCTCTAGTCTGCAGAACAGAAAGTAACTATTTCAGAACCAGAGAGTAGTCTAATCTGATAGTGTTGGTTTTCTCTGCACTCACGAAGTGGCTTTCCATCTTTGAAGGGTAGAGGATAACCAACCTTACTATTTCTTTTGTAAAATTGGCAAGAAGCCTTGCCTCTGTCTTGGTACCTGCAAGTGTCTGGATGTGGTGCAAGTATCTGTATGCTTAGAGATGACGCCACAGCCCTTAGCAAAAACCTTCTGTATGTACTTATTTGTGTTATGAGAAATAGAGACTATCTCATATCTGATTATAATTAGCCCCCAAACTGAGCTGTTCTGTCAGTGATGACTTTGTTGTTAAGGTGAATAATTGAAGACCTTTATGTTGTTGATTGCTTTGGGGTTGAGAGTGGTGGCATGCAGTGTAAGTGGCCAGTTCTTGATATTTTTTTAACCCATGTTGCCCAAAATACAGCATAGCAGTAATAAAAATTAAGTTGCTGTTAGGCGCAAGCACTGGGCTATAGGCTATAGAAATGAAAAGGGTCATGCCTGAGAATTCCTGCAAGTTTGATAAGAGATTGTGGATGGTTCAAGTAAAAGAAACCAATGGAAAAGGAAACTTCTGCTAGAGAGACTTTTGGATGCTAATTCTTTATGTACCTGGCCTGTAATATTCCCCTTTTTACCTCCAAGGAGCAGAGAGACAATGAGATCTGATGCAGACTTCACAATGCATGTGTCTTCAGCCTGGGAACTGCCTTGGAGCCTCAGCAGGATCTCAGACAGCACCTCTGGCACACCTGCATCCACCAACTGCACTTTCAGAGTATCTGTAGAGATTACAGTAAAAGCACATTAAAAGCTTCTTGGCTTTTTGTGGAAGCATTTCGAACTAGAAAGCTAAATCCCTGAACTTTAGCCAGTTGTTTTCCAGGTGCAGTCACTGTTTTGGTTTTGTTTGTAACAGCTTTCTGGAGCTAGGATGACACCAAGGCAGAATGAGCAAAGCTTTCTGAGTTGGTCTTTGACATTTCTTGTGCTGCCAGTCATGAGCTTTCATGGCTTTAAAATCTATCTAGATATTTTTAGTGTCAGTGCTTGTTGTACCGCTACTTAGAGTATGCATCTTCACAGAGTCACAGAATATTCTGAGCTGGAGGGGATCCACAAGGAGCAGCAAGTCCAACTCTTAAGTAAATGGCCCAAACAGGGATTGAACTGGTACCCTGTTGTTCTGATTTTTAAAATTAAAAGATGATCTACTTTCCTCTTACCCACCATGGAGAGTAAGTGTGAATCTTCTGTCTTTTGGATCTACTGAAATGCAGTGGAATGGTACTCTCTCCTTCCTTTGTTTTCTTACCTGTTCATTTGGTGTTTGGGCCAGGATCTTGCATGTTCTTGGAGCTTATTTCTCCTTGCTGGTTCTGTTAGCGGGATCCCATGACAAACTTGGAACCCAGAGCTTAAACCAGTACAATACCCAGTCTCCGCTTGTTCCACCCAGACCAAAAGGAGCCTTACCATTTTCTGCAAGTGCTTGCAGGACCTCAAAGACAATTTCGAACCTCTCATGGCTCTCTGCTCTCCTCAGTTGTTTCACCAGTTGTTCAGCAACTTTTGTCATGCTTAGAGCTTCCTTGGCTGAATCTGTGTAGGTGATAAAGTCAGGATTTTGAAATTTTATTTGATTAAATGATTAAAGATATCTCCCTATGATCTGAAGTGGTTAGACACTGTCTTTGAAGGCTTTTTCTGTTCTTGTAGACTTCTGTTTCTTTGGACAGCACTGAGACAGCAGAACTCTATCCCTTCTCCCCCCCCAGGTTCTTTAACTGTTTTTCTGTAATTTCTGTAGACCTCATAGGTGTCAAATTAATCCTGGCTTAATTTCACTGACTAGTACAAGTCCATCTGTAGTATGATTATTTGTTATAACAATTGGCACATGTTAGTTTGCTGTAGCAGTATATTTCTTGCCTTGATTAGGTGCTTCTAGTCTTGCTGGTATCTTAAACATCTGCAAGATGTATGTTAGCTAAGCTTGCCACTGTTTGACATAGAATACATTTCAATTGAATATGGTATTAAATAATACAACAGCTATAACAAGTACTGACCTCTTTAGAGCATAATGTGACATTGTGGTATCATGTCCCCTTCCCTGCATGTACCCCTAAATGCTGGAAGCAGTAGATCAAGCCAGACCATATATAGAGAGTGGTAATAACTTTGTACTTGGTCTTTTTCTTGCATTACTACTCACAACTTGTGTAAAGTAAGGCAAATATATTTTGAATTAGTGGAGATGCTTTTGCTTTGAAAACTGTGTAAATGAAAATAGAAGCTGTTTTAGTAAGGTATAAAAACTTAATTATTAAATAGAAATTAAATTTTAATAAACAAGCTTTTAATGTACCAAATTTCAAGTAGTTGAAACTGTCAATTTATCATGTGAAGTTATGCCATATCTTCATTTGGGGTCAAAAGCTGGCTGTTAATCTTAATTGTTGTAATGTGGTATAAGTAATTGCTGGTACTCCATAAAAGAGTAGTTATTTCTCCTCTCCAGCTACTGTGGCCAGTTCCTGATTAGATATCAGTAGTGTTTTAAAAACAAAGCCTAAACACCAGCCCTACCCCACCCCAAAAAGAAAGCCCACAAACCTGTGGGCAAGGAAAGGCAGTAACAGTGTGGAGATGGTATTTTGCTCTAAGATGCAGAAACTTAAAAAACTTTAAACAAGACCTTACTTACCAAGGTCTGCCAGATTGTACAAGGCCAATAGAGCAACGTGGACAAGTGGTTCACTCTGTGCATAGTCAGTTAATATTTGGACCAGTGATGGGATCACTCCAACCTTGACCAGCTCTTCCTGAAGGCTGCCTGGTCAGCAAAGCAGAGGTGTTAAAGGTGCTTAAATCAGGAACTGATTAAATCAGTGGGAAGGGTCCAACTGAGATGCTTAGCAGCGCAAGGTAGTCTGGTTCTTTCTCACACCGATAGAATTTGTAAAGCTTTTGGTGGCGGCTCCAGGCTAATGTCTGTGGAGGAAATGCAAGTTTGGGACAGATTTTTGCTAAACCTCCTGGTTTGACTTCGACTTAAGGTATTAAGCCACTGTGTCCATCCACGTGTGCTTGCTGAGGAAAACCCTGATAACGGTTTTCTTTCTTTTTGTAGTTTGTTTTGTAATGAATGAAGGCTTAACATCTGAAATTATTTTGACGGTGCCAAGAACTGTAAGATACAAATTGGACAGTGATGGTTGCTTAACAGCACAGTGGCACTGCTTTTGCAGCAGTGTCTTGCTGAGAGCTGGGCTGTTGCTTGGGTGACAGTGCGTGGCAGACACCAGGAAGGCTCTGGTGCTATTGTAGCACAGGCAATTGGAATTCAGACGGGGAATTGGTGAAGTTAATTTTTCTTCTCTTTGATGCATTTTTTGTTGTGTTAGTACTATGATTTATTAAAGCGTGTCACAGTCGTCTTGGCAAATCTGTGCTGGGCCTGTGCTCTGCCAGAAGGGAAGCAGATGTGCAGGATGGCCATATGCTGCAGCAGTGCTGTGTACAGGAGTTGCATGAGCAAATGGGAATGAAATTGTAGGGAAAAGCTTTTTTAAACTCTTGTGTCATTCCCTGACAAATACATGTAACTCACAGGGAGCTTAGTGGAATCTATACCAGGTGCCTATCACACTTGGATTTCAGAAGAACAGTGAGGGAGGCATACCCACAAATTTCTGAGTAAAGTTGTGCAGATCCACACTAGAAGGATTAGAGAAGATAGGTTGAAGGTAGAGTAATGGATATGAGATACTGGGTGAAAATTTCCGTATTACTTTCAGTATGCAGTAAATATTTTGGGCAGTCTGAGAGTTTAAGATACAAAAAAAATCTTAAACTGCTTTGGGCAAGTAAATGAAAATTGTTTAACTTTTGAGCCCAGCTAGCAAGCTGGTGGCCAGGGAATGTGGAGCACAAAGATCTCCTGCATGCAAGCAGTGGTTCTCAGAGAAGACTATTCCTGGCATGGATAAATATCTCAGTATTTTTTTAATCTCTTTTTTTCCCTAACACACTTTTTAAACAAGTGCTTTGCTTTATAGATGTTCTTATTACTTTGGAAGAAGTCCAAGCCATTCAGGATTTGGACCCAAGGCAAGTCTGCAAAATTGCTTAAGATATGTGTGAGGCTCTACTCCTCTTATGATTTCAAAGCAGTTCTGACAGAGCTGTGCCACTTGAAGTGTGAAAAATGTAGAGGGAAAGCCCAGAGTTCAGGCAGTGCTTGGGGTGCATTCAGCCAGGTGTCTGTGAGCTCTGTGAACTGCATACCTACCTGGAGGCTGAGGTGCATGATGTGCTCAGGTCTCAAAGTTATGAGTTACAGGTTGCAATGCCTTTTAAAATGATGCCTTAGAGCCAGGGAAAAGCAGATTCTCCTCAGTGGATACTTACGGTTATTGTAACAGATACGGCCAATGGCCCTCCCAGCGTGGAGCAGCATTTCTTGGTCTGTGCTCTCCAGCAAAGGTATCAGTGTTAGAACCAAATCTGCTTCAATACATGGTTTCTTCATTTCCTCTGTGTAGATAAAAGACAGGGAATTCCAGGTTTTTGCTATTCAGGAATAAAACAATTGCAATAGCAATAGCTGGTAGCCATGAAACAAAATTCAAGAGTGAAAACATGAAGCTAATGTGCTGTGAGATGCCTTGTAGTAATATTTGAGCAAGACTTACCATTTTTGGCTATCTCTGAGAGCACGTGGGCTGCTTTCACTGCACATCGTGGATTGCCCTTCAGGACTTTTGCCAAAGTTGGGAAGATCCCACTCCCTCTGAGTAGGTGGAAGGATCTCTGCTCTGCAGTGATAAGAGTGTTAGCAATACCTGCCGTAGGTTTGCAGCTGTTTTATTCACATGTTCCTTTGTTTCCTAGAGTTCTGAGTGGGTATCTGTGGGATCCAAGCTTCTGATTTAACAAGGTTCTTAAAGGCTGTCTGAGTATGTGGGCACAGTCATCTGCTTGAATTGCAGCAAGTGTGGTTCCAGCTCATTACTCTGCTTTGTGCTGAATTGAAGCAGGGGTGGCAAGGCAAAGAGGAAAACAGTTTTATCTTCTCTGACTATGAAAGGATGCCTGCATAAGGCATGGGAAGTCAGGGATTAAGGTACTATTCCTCAGGCATGGCCTAGCAATTAATTCTGTAGGTAGGCACAATACATTTTATTAGCGTAGCAATTAGAACAGACAATTCCCTTAGCCTTTTTTAATCAAAGATATGGCCAGCTGGCCTGAAGATACTAAATCACCATCTGCCAGCAGACTCAAATAAATGCAGATTTATGTCGTTTTAGGAGAATGTGCAAAGGCTTTAGGGACTTTTGTATAAGTAGACTAGAAACTACTTTTAAAATGCCTGACCTGATAGGGTCACCCTAAATTAATCCTAGGAGTTTGTAATGAATAGAATATTAAACCTGGAATTTCTCTGGAGCTTTTGGTATTTTAGTGACCAGAAACTTTACCTGGGCACAGGTAATTTAGTGAGTTTTAGACAGAGAGAAAAGAAAGCAACACAGCCTGAGGACAGCTACAGTTCCAGCAGCAATCACTTTTTGAAACAGAGATGATCACAACAAACAAAACCTGATATGAATTCTTTTGAATTGTGCAAATGGTTGATTGGTGATCCAGAGTGATACTTAACTATCTTCAGTAATAGCCAGTAGAATCCCATTCAAACTTTCAAGGATCTGATCTTCAGCTTCTGTGTCATCTCCACAAAGCCCAAGGTATTCCAGGTGCTTATTCAGGGTTTCTAAACAGAATGGGATAGAAAACTTTGGTGAACCAGCATGGAAAATATTGAGTTCCTTGTGGTAGTGCTTTTCAGTACTAATTATTATAAAATGATTTCCTGAGTGGTCCAGATCTAAATATTCTCATTTATTCCAAGAGCATGAGGTCAAAGGCTGCACACAGCTCTTGTGCAGGCATAAACATGCAGGGATAAATTCTATCTGGAAACAGAAATTAACATATAATAACTGTGGCAGGGTTTGAGGTGGGGAGAAGAGAGGAATAATTGCAGGACCCAAATCAAGCCTGTCATTTCTAAATACCTGTTTATCATAAAGACAGTACTTGCAGCTCAACTATCTACTGTGGCAATGGCCAGTAGCAGGCCCTGAAAGGATGCAAGAACAGATGGGGTAAAATACTTCTCCCTTTGTTTCTGGCAACTTTGGCCTTTAGAAACATATTTACATCAATATATATCTAATATATGTTGATCAACGTTTATTTGGATTTTTTTACCTGTAATTCATAATTTTTATCTCCACATCACACAGTTTCACTGTTATAAGAGGAAGATACTTCCCTTTGCTTTGAAATATTTACCGAAAAGGTCAAAGTTGATGGCCTTTGAGTTGCTGTTGTAAGAGAAAGAAATTATTCTTCACTACTTGCTCTTCCATGTCTGTCATAATCAGATGGATTTTTATTATAGTCCTCCTTTGTAATTCCTCTGCCAATTTGCTTAGTATTTACAGAAACTTTGATAACTTGCCTGAATATTTTTCCAGCTCACTTTTATTCTTCGTGAAGATCTAGAATTTGAAAGTGTTCTCAAGACTCAGATGAACTGGGATTCAGAGAGACTGTCATGTTTTGTTTTCTACTCTGTTAATTCTTTGTCTCTTGGAGATTGGCTTTTGTCCAGTTAATCAAAATAATCTCTTACCTTCCAGGCAGCAGGAGGTAACTTAAACCCCACCATCATTTATAATTTGGCCATCTTTTCCCCATGTAGGTTGTTCTGCATTTGCAGGTACTGAGCTTGATGTGTCCCTTTATCCCAAGTCACACAGGATGATACCATTTTCCTGCAATTATCTCCAGTAAAATTTGAGTACTCCAAATAATAAAAAAAACTCCTTACCATTCTGCTATTTCTAGGTCATTTATTAGTATATTGAATTGCACAGGTTCCAGCAAAGGTAACCTTTAATAATTTTGGCTTTCTATTGTAAAAGCAGCCTTTATTCTGCTCTTCAGACTTCATCAGATAATCATCTCTCATATCCCAAGATAACTTAGATAGAGGTTATTGAAAGGTTTGTAGAAATTGAAATGCATTAACGCTATCTCCTTTATTGACCTTCTTACCAGTTCCTTAAAAATATGTTTAGAGACAGGTTGAGACAGGTTGTGGAGGTTCACCTCCACAAAAGTCAGAGAGACTATCCTTTTTTATCCTGTGTTTAGTATCTCTGTGCTTTACTATAGTCCTACAATTTACCTGTGCAGAGATCAGACTTATGCGTTTTAATTTCCCGCATTCCTTGCAACTGTTTTTGTAAACCCATCCCACTCTTACTGCTTTCAACTTTATTAAAGCTGTTGTTGATCTCAGTGCTATTCTGCATGTCACAGTTAATGATGTAATGAATCATCTTTTTATCTCTTATAAACTCTGTAGTATAGCATCCAATTCTGACAGTTGGTTACCACTTATTTTGTTTTGCTTAGAAATTTTCTGTCCTTTTAATATGAAGATTCCTCCATCTGCTTTCTAAAACAAAAAGACCTAAAGTGACTGCAATTAATGTAAAAAATATTGCTGGAAAACTGCTCTCTGAAGTAGTTAATGTTTAGGATATAATGTAGGATGTTACCAAAACTGTAGTAAAATAGCATTTCTGCTTTACAAACAGTTTCATTGAAAATGCTGACTCATGAATCATGCGTCAGAAATTGAGGATTAATAATTGATCACTTATTTTTTTTGGTGAACTCGCTATATTCTCTGTCCCTAATGTATCCATTAATTAATGTGAGATTTTTTAAATGAAAACACATGAATTCAGTGCATACAGGAATTTACCTCTGAGGAACAGAAGGGTCCTGAGCTGTTTTGAAAAGAGAATGAAGTAAAGGGAATTGAAGTAGAAGATAATTAAAAGTGGTTATTGCCTATTAAGAAGAAAAATTATATGGCTTAAAAAATTAAAAGCAGTTATTTAAAAACAGATTTGCTTTTGTGCTTTAAGGAAGTTGCTATCTCCAGAAAAATATCTGAATTCACCAGTTCCAGTTTTCCTGCAAAAATTTGCTGAATAAATAATTTTGTGTAAATGAAGTACAGTAGAATGCAGTTTTTTACACAAAAAAGACAGAAAAAAACCCCAAACCACCTGAGCAACCTGACAGTTGAATCAGGTTTGATCTTAAATGAAGATCTAATGGGAGTGGGCAGAAGGCTACAGCTGCTGATTGAGCAACATGAAATAAATTAGAAGCCTATGAGATTGAATTATCTATTGAATTCTGCTTTCATCTTATCAAGACCCAAAATGTGATGGAATTTGACTTCTAGTACTTTAATTTGACTTCTAGTACTTTAATGTTTTTAAAGAACACTTTAAGTAGTGTTCTTTAATTAGAACAATAGTGATGTTTGCAAATACATTTCTCAAATATTTCTAATTAGGATCTATAAAGCTATGGAAAGACAGGATTTCTTAAGATGGAGGAGGTTGTTTTACAAATAGCAGGGAGCAGTCTATACTGGTGTTTCATTGGGTCAGTACAGTAGTATCTAGAAATCCAGATGCTTTGTCATTTCTCCAGGGAACAGATAGTAGAATAGCATCATATGCATAACGACAAAGTCCTTGTAAAATACCCCTCTGGTTTCAATCTGTAGTATTTTGAAATGAGTAGTATGAGTGGTAGCTGACTGGAGAGTTACTCATAAAAGCCTCACAGAAAGCAGCATTTAACTGGAACAGTATTAAAGTACTGAACCCTTTTCTCAGGGATTCAGAATTTTATCATGCTTGTTATTCATAAAAACTTGATTAACATAACCAGGTTGGGTCTGATTCCTCAATGCTCCTTGTGTTTAAGTCCATGCTTCTGCAGAGGCAGTGAAGTAGCTACTGTTAAGATAGTTATTTATGTGAAAAAACAGTAGAGAGAACATATACAGATTGTGACTAAAACTGACCAGAAAAGGGTATTTATTTCTCCTTTGTGGAAAATTCCGGGGTGCTGACATTTTGTTTCATCCCATGCTGGAATAGATGGTTGGCACGGTGGAGCTAGAGGCAAACCAGAAGGATTTGTGTCAGGTTTTTTGCAGAAGTGGTTCTTGGCCAGCCGGGGGCTGCGTGGCGCGCTGCCCGGCCGGCGGGGAGCCAGGCTGGAAGGGTGCCAGCCAGGCCAGCCAGCTGGTCAGACAGCAGGGACTGCCCACCCCCCTGGCCTCTGAGGAGGCTTTTAGCAGAATAAACATGTTCTGAAGGAATACTATTCGTTCTCTTGAATCAGCATTTTAGCTAGAATATCACTCATCAGCTTTAGTAATTCACCGTAGAAGAGAGGGAAATGGGCACTCCTTGCCTGCAGGGCCTGAGTTTAGAAATCTCTTGAGACTGAGGTACAAAAGGCTTTTTTCCTGAGCTGAAGGCATAGATTATTAATTCACGCATAAATCTGTACGTAAGATACTGAGTAAGAGTCATAGGAACCAGGCTTTTGCTGCGGGAGTTGGTTTTCGATCATCCTAATGAGAGCAGAGACAATAGTGCAGAAAACGTGCTCTAGCACAGCAACTTCATGTGGCTTCTGCAGTGGGGAAAGAGCCATGAGGAGTGAGCTCTTTGGATCCCTTGAACCACTGCTGTGTCAATTCTCAGTGCTAGTTTTGATCTATAAACTCCTCAGAGACTGAGAGAATGCCATATATCTCCCTCTTTCAGCATCTGACTTTGCCCCTCCTAAAACAGCAATGGCTTCTGATTTTTTCCTTTTTATAGCCACTCACATATGTAGAAAATTTCTCTTT